ACCTCAGCTCTAGTTCTTTAGCTGGTCTTTATAGAGTGGGAAAAAACCTCACTAAACAGTCAACCTACCAACCTCTGTCGATAGAAGTTTGCATAAAAGATAAAATACAAGTGATCCACACGAGTTTTGTATAAAGTTTCTATCCCATACGAAATACAAGAATAGGCCCCTATATTCTGGATTTGAAGCTACACCCACTGACTTGAGTGGTGCCAGTCTTCAGTTTCATAAGTGCAGTCCTCAATGGTGAGATCCTCACGGTGTTGAGTGATTGCCACAAAACCGAACATCACGACAATTTTAAGCCCACATTTCGTGAGCGTATCGCAAATTAGTGACTGAATAAGTCCAGCTATACAGGTTTCTGTTTTTAAGAGATGAATTGGCAAAAGACGACAGATGAATATCTTCTTGGGATGAGACTTGTATACACTGATTCAATGCTGGACGAAATTCAGTGCTTATATAATTTGCTGAACAAATGTAATAAATTAATAGTTTTCCTTTTGGCTTCTTGTATTCTTGCAAACGCCATCTCCATGGATTTATGAAGCAATTTTCTGTGTGTGAGAAGTCAAACGAAAGGTAAGTCACAAGTGTTACTACAGTTTGCTGTAAAGGTTTGAAACATTTTTGCTGGTTAGCTTGCTTTTAGATGCTCGGGGTGTTCTAGATAAATGCACACTGTTGCGGCTTTGCCGTTGAAGATATTACTTCCCATAAAATAGGTCGTTAAGAGGAACATATGGGGACCGTGTACTAGTAACATTTTACTATAATCCTTGAAATTGTACCTTTGTGCTGCAATTAACCTTACTTTCAATTTTCCAGATTTTGTTTTGCTATTTTTATCTGTATTTTGGGGCCTTTTGATTTTATGTTCAAACGATTTTGCACTATCGTGAGCAAAACTGGGGTGTAATCCGAGGCGGCGAACCTTAATGTTGACTATTTCCATTTGCTTTGGCATTTTTTTTATTGGGATACTATTTGGCGAGAAGCCAGCTAGCAACCTTTTCTCAGAAATGTTTTCAAAGAGCATTTTGGGGTTCGAAAATTGTTCACGAAAATTTACAAACTGAACTGTGTCTGTACCTCCCGTTATATCACACTATAAAAACGGCTTCCTCACTTGTCTGAAAAAATCTTGGTAAAATTAGACTTTTTTAAAGGTGAACTTTAAAGTTGACTTAACTCAGAAAAAAAGATTTCAAACACTTTCCATTCACTGAAGAAGAGCTCCAACATTCACAAACAGCGATTCAAGGAAAATTTTATTGCATAGGTCCTTTAACCGAATTAAAAAGCATCCCTCGAAAAGACCTGTTTGAAGGGTTCATTAGACCAGTTCTACAGGGGAAAGGATGTCAAGGGCGTAGCCACGGAGGGAGGGGTCGCCATGAGGGCACGCCCCCCCCCCATTCCCGGTACCCCTCAGGTATCAGGGATTTGAATGTTTAAAGTTCAGAAGTGACGACGGATCAGGGAGGATAAGACCGTAGCCGGACTTGCAAAGTTTGTTCCCGACGATAGCACTTTTTTTTGGTCAAGAAAGGCGATTTTGCTGACTAACATGACAAGGGTGTCACACCCTCCCTACCCCTCTAGTGACGCCCCTATGTGTTTAAAATGAAAAGGGCAAGATATTAGAACGTGACAGATTACCGGAAAGATTTTTGTAAGTTTTTACGATGCATCTCCTGTGTTATCTGTTATTATGCCGTTGAAAAGTATTGACTGCATGCGGTCCCAAATGCATCAACGCATCTCGCTTCTCGCATCGCACGCTTCTTACCCTCGACCCTGGGGAACATAGTTCTTTATCTAATACGATGAATCACACTCTCTCTCATAGCTATCATCATAATAGCTATCCAGCCAGTCGTTCCCCTGAACGGGAATCTTAGATGAAGAACGCCCCATATGGCGTTTTTTTTTTCAATTGCTCAATTTAACTGAATTCTCGGGCGTGGTAGGCATCCGCCCCTTTGTATGCACCCACACCCTTTCCTCGTCAACTACACTAATCTGCGATACTGCAGGGTCAGGGTTCCCAGCCGCTCATGTCATCTCTGTAAACATGCCGAGTAACAACCACCTTCTAAGATTCCCCAGTGCACCCTCGATCTCGACCCTGAGATGGGTGGGTCAAACACATTAAATACACCTGGGACTAGAATGTTAGGTTCCGTAGCCCCCTGCTTTAAGGGGCCCGTTTTGGCCGACTTATGCGAGACAGCTCGGCCAAATGCAGGTTTAAATCCCCACAGATAGATAGTGAGGCTTAATTGTGCATAAGCAGTCCATTGAGCTCCTGATTTGTCTTTCCACTACGGAATGGCCGTCTTTGAAAGCAATGTCCAATTCTTGACAGAACTGACTGAAGATTGTCCGACTAACCGACCAGCAGACTCGCCACATTAAAAAAAAAAATCCCCTAATGCGAAATGAACAGAACTCTCAATGCACCCTTCTCGGACCTGGAGAAATCCTCATTTCAGCTTTCTCAGAATAGAACCGAGTACACAATCTATTTTGATTTGTTTTTTTCTTCCTCTCTCAATCTCTCTCTCTCTCTTTGATTTGAGCAGGCAGTCATACCTGCTCAGTCGAATAAACAGTTTTAGAGGGTAGCTTTAGTCATTCACTGTACACACATTTGCAGCACTGGCCTCTCCCCCATGCTTCATATCGAAGTACGTCGTGGTAGATCACACAGTCCACATACCAGCAATATGGAGTGTATAGCAAATATGTAACATACTGGTTTAATGATATCATTATTGAGGTAGGACCACGAGTGGTCAGATATTTGATAATAACGTATACCCATTTCAATAATCAATGTGTACATTATGCAGACTGATTAAGAAGATTACGATGCTATAAACGGCAGTAAGTTGAACCTATATGAAGTGAATAAGACATTTGGGGGGAAGATTTATAAAGCCTACATTTTTCTGAAACAGTGCCCAGAGAGAGGTCATGTGTGCAGTTAAATGAAATTCAGGACTTCCCAAAGTATGTTAAATATCCGTTTACAATAAATCCCACAGTTGCATCTCAAAGCCATATTTGTTTCCATTATTGTTGATCTTGTTTCCTTAAACCAGCTGATCATAATTACGCTAAATGATAGTCAGAAGAGAAGAATTGCAGCCGAGGATTTGATTATTGAGCGTAGCTAAAAGACACTGACAACTATTTTTATCACATAATTATTTCAATGAGTCATTAAACAAATGTCTAAGGTTGCGCCAAAAACATGCCCATATCGTCGAATCATAGTTGACCATTACGTCAAGACGAGAGATGGGCTTGGCAAAGCAAATTCAGTGAGCTGTTACCACATGTCGGAGTTGGGGATAATTTGCCCTCTAAATCTTAACCTAATGAGCACACCAGCAGCCTATAAACGGCCTCAAAATATCGCTAATGAGAGTCTTTGACATGCGCAGACAGAATAGTGCAATCGTCATATGCAATGCTTACTACATTGAACTCTTAACTTCCTGCCGACATTAATGAATGACAAACGAAATTGCTTTCTTCTGCTTACCAATTCACCGTGTTGCTATGCAGAATCGTCAGTCCTTTAATTCCACAGTTACAAGAAATACCCTATATCTAAATTCTAGTCACGTAACAATAATTAAAATGTAATTATTTACATTGACAGTAGAGGGCGCCAAACCTTGCCATGTTTCCAGCATGAACACCTCAAGATTTAGGACATCCATACATTTTAATTTCTTGTAGCCATTTTATAACACGAATGAAACCAAACCAGAGTGGAAGCTTTAACAGTGTTCCACTTTGAGTTAACTTCAGCACAATAAGCATGAGCTACTGAGCTTATGAGTTTCCTCCACCGTCCTGGATGTCGCACCAAACACTTGTGAAATGTGGTATTAGTTTGCAAAAACTTTCGGATGCACTTAGCGAATGCCCTTCAGCTGACTATAAACGTCCATATCGAGGTTCAACAAACTACCACAACAGTCACAAGTAATAAGGAGAGCGAATGTTGTGCTCAGACGAATGTCTAATGCAATCAGCACATTTTACCGGGCCCCTTGGCTCATAAACATTTCACTAATACAGGCGTTTCACAATACTGTGCCTCTAAGAGTTTGCAACGTGTTGGCCAATCACAATCTCTCGCCCCAATGCGCGTTTAGAAATGGTCGAAAAATTTCGCGCGTTGTGATTGGCCAACGCGTTGCAAATTCTCGGAGGCTCACTACTGTGAAACGCCCGCGTTGTTCATAGTCCTTTTTATTAAGAGGATCCCACAAATTCAACACCGCCCCCGGACGGTGAAGGTGCATACTGTCATTTGTCTGATTTGTTGTCTGATCAAGGGTGTGGCTGAAACATTATACCCGTAAAATGGGTAAACAAGAACTGATAGACAGGCCACCTTCTGACTAAGCCAGGAATCACCTACTAAAAAGTCAGCATGTGATTTTCAGATATGGCTCTGATCTGGAAGTCTTATCAAATATGAGGCTCGAAGCTCAGCCAGTTTGATTGGCAGGTGCGAGTAATGACGTAATAATGGAGAGGTAGGCATCTGTTTGGTGGACTCTTGGGGTTCTATGTTAAGCGCCTGTATACTTGTCTCCGTTTAATGTAGGTTTTCCCGGACAACTTCGGAAAATGCGCTGTTTAATTCGTAAAATAAAAATTCAGTTTGGCGTGGATTTTGAAAAACGACATAAAACCTGGTTTCATTTTAACGATACGAGTAATAGACTTTGTTTTGCATCCTTCAAATAATTGAATGTGCATTATGTTTCATTTGACAGGTTACAAAAAACTGATGAGGCTTCCGATTTGTCGTATTCGTTGCCAATTATAACTAATGTGCAATGTTATTTACTGAAAATCTGTCTTGTACCGTAAACCGTCGGTATTGAGTATTCATTTTCATTTGCGGTAATTCAAATTCACAAAATTTGCATTCAATTTGATTAGAAATATACAGGGTTACAGAAATCATGACACCATTTTGATAATGAATGTAATGTTACTCATGAAGGATTATAGTGTATTTGTTATCAAACTGTACACCAAATAAAGCCTGTAATTGTTTTTATCTTCCCCTTCAGCCACTGCAAGAAGGCCAAGTGTGAACTCTGATTGTGGCAAAAACGAAGCTTGAGAAGGAAAGGTTGCCTAAGCGTCGGTTTTTGTATAGGATTATTACAATAGCTGGTATGTTTTTAAAGACAACACGAACCGTCTATTTCAGTCATGAATATTCAAACATTTAACGATTCAACTAAACACTTCTAAGAATATAACTTTTGTTAGCACACAAACGAATTCCAATTCTTGACCAGGCATACCTTTAGATAACACTCCGCGGGAAATCACCTGCACATTCTGTGAAAGATTGAGTTCAAATTCAGATGAATGCGGGATTGCAGAGGTACATCCGATTTCGCGCACAAATCAGTGTCAACATTTTAAACCAGTGCAATAACGACTGAATGCACCCTCAATGAAATAGAATTTTTGTTAAATAGAAACGGGGATTTGAATGTTCGTTCCATTTCGCTCGAAAACGAATGCTGCTATTACTATTCATTTACATATTTTCCGAAATTGTACAGGAAAACCTATAATTTCCCAGACTGGTTCTGCAAACAATTCTTTGATGCTCCAGCTTTCCACACTAACACTTGATACCGTCTAAATTTGCTTAAAAAGTCCTCTCGCACTTTGGGACGTCCAAAAGACACTGCAGCTTGGCGGTGTCTACTTTTGGCTGTCCTCTGCAGCCTCCGTCACTGGCTGGGAGGAACCGTCATTCCCGCTGTCGTCGTTGTACTGCGGGATGGTGTCGGGCTGTAGTGTGGTGGTCATGAGCGGCTGTGTTGTGGTGGCGTTGTCGTCGTCTCGCTCTTGATTCCTGTACATGCTGGAGCGCAGCTCCGACAACACCTGTTTGCTGCTGGGGGTGAAGTATATCTGGTCGTAGCCTCGGTACTCTCCGGAACCAGGCTCGCTTAAACCGTAGTTGCGTCCGTCTGTCATGAAAAGGAACAAGTGTAAATCGTTAGATGTTCCATGTAGAAACTGAAGCCCCGCCCCGAGATAATTAGGTGAACGCTACATGAAAAACGAGCCAATTCATGAGAAGTTATGATCAAACGTCCGTTCAATGAAGGTGATATTTTGGACCATATGGCACATCTAATTGACCATTTTGAACCGGCCCTCGGGCACGGTTGCATTATTTGTTATCAATAACTGTTTTCATTATGTAAATGAGACGGCATCAGCATGGTATGAACCCCGAGAAAGTCACCAATTATGAGTGGAACAAAATGGCTGCCGTATGAGGGCTGTTCGCGTTGGAGCTTTTGTGCTTGACTGTTGGACCACAAGTAGTCAAACTTTCAGGCTCATCTCAAACTTCCCCATAACCGTCACAGTGCTTAGTGGGCTACTGGGTATTAAAGCTGTTATAAAAGCGCCCTCCTTCTGTGAAAACTACAGGTTTGGGGATTATGTCAAGACAACCATACACACTCCATGCGCCCGAACCCCCCCCCCCCGGCTAAAAGAGAGGGACTTAACAGTGAAATTTTTTTATGAGGTGTTTTTTTTTTCCATTTAAGAGGGAGTAATACACTCCCTTCCTAAAAAAAAACTTGATGTTTAAAAATAAAACTGTCGAAGAACGCTTAAGTTGTTGTACTGGATCAAGATATTTTCGGAAATCAAGACATCCTGTGCGTTGACGCTCGAAACATACAGCGCCACTGCTACATTCGCCGTTCACGTACATACATGCGTGACCAGATACGTGTGATGGAGATAGAAAGCTCAATGATTTTTGTTTTCGGCTTTTACATCAGAGGGCGCTCTTCATACTATCCAGAGAAGTCGAACGGAAAATGAAAATGATACTGCCTACGGGTACAGTGCACAGTCTACTTCTCCTTAGCTGTAAACGAGGGAGGATCAGATCTCAAGGTTGCTGTTGAGCACAGCCAATCTCTTATGGCAACATCGACTTGAGACAGTCGCTCTAGGCTTCATGTGGAGGTTAAAGGGGTAACATGGAGATGATTGATGACAATGGTCTATTGGCTGTGCGCATTGGAAATAGAGATAATGAACACTGTCTCCAACCTACAAGCTTGTGCATCCCCCAGCAGCCTTTGGCGAAACCTTGACCTAGACTATGAATAAGTCGCGTTTTACTACGAGCCACCTGATTGATGGATACACACTGGACCAACCCATTACAACTTCGGAAGAGAAACTTTGCAAGCAACTATATAACATGCCCATAACCCAAAACCAACCGTAACGAATTAATTCGTTTTCATTCAGTCAGCAAAACCTGCTCCCATTAATGAGAGTGAAATCGTCAAGAACAACCACAACAACTCTTGGAAGCCAAAATCTTTCTAGGAAGAGGAAATTAACTTGCCTGGGTCACATGTTCCCCAGCTCACGATTTCCACGTACTCCCCGGTCTGGCATATGTGTTCCTGCATTGCACACCAGCTCTGGTAGGTCTGGTTGTCAGAGGCGCATAGCGGTACCTCGTCCGCCCAGCCGCTGCAAGTGTAATTGCAAAGGATACAGCGGGAGGTGTTGGCCGCCTGGTCCCAGAAGCATTGCTTGCGGTCCACACATATCGTGTCATTGCAGGAAGTCAGGTCTGAGAGAAAGGGTGGCATAAAAAGAATCAGTTCTAGTATTTAATGAACCCCGAGCTGGGTTTTCCCCAGCAACGAAGGCTCCTTTGGTCGGAAATGCACTTCTCTTGTTCACGAACGACTATGAAATGCACGCGTTACTATATCGTTTCGCCACCAGCAATATGAACACTCCCGACCAACCTGGCTCTGTTCTACCGATGGGGGGTGTTTCCGCTCAAGCCAGATAATGACTGAATAAGTGGTTGCCCTGAAACTGGGTGGTGACGTCTTGAATTTTATACTTTGTTTTAATCTGCTCTTGAGGGGAAATCTTTGCAAAGGTAATAAATTGCCACCCTTGACAAATTTATAACTAAAAGCCTTCGAGTCAATTAACGGTGTGCCTTTCGTCTCTACTTGAGTTTTGTGAACTCATATTTCTTCAGAAACCCTAATTATTTAAAAAAAAAAAATAAAAGTGACTTGCCGAACAGAAGATTTTTATTTTCTGGCATTGCCTGTTTTCATGTAAAAACAAACCGTTGAGCAACCCCCTGGTCTAATGGGAAGTTGGACATCCCTACCCATGGACTTCTATATGCCCCCATCTTACTTGTCCAAACTGAGAATCTGCAGATGAGAAATTCCTGTTTTTTCAGTGTTTGAAACTATGGCCAAAGGAATTAACTGGCCCTCTAGAAAAGAGCATTGTTCTCCCTATACCGATCCGTCTAAGACAAGCATGGCACTGATGATCTCAAGGAACCAAGCCTTGTTGGAACCCGACATGGCAACCGTGTCATCAAATCAATTAATTGTGCTTGAGAATAACACTGTGTCCTGGCCTTGTCAACGGCATGGGTATCCCGAATCTCCATGGCATTATCTTAATAGATATCCCTAGGTCAAGCCTTGCAGTGTTGTAGTCGTCGAGACTGGTATTGGTCTCGAGACCAGGGTCTCGAACATGCTGGTCTTGGTCTCGAATCAGTCTTGGTCTTGATCTCGCAACTCCTGTTCTCGGAATTTTCGGCTTCAGACCAGTACACGAACAATTTGAAAAATACACTATGCACCCTTTTATACCTTTTATATTGACGAATTTCGATTGTTTGTAGGCCTACGAAAAACTTGAATCGAGACCCCGCAAGACGTAGGTACGGCCGTTGAGGACTGTACGTATGAGCGTTCGTTGTGGCTACAGCTGGCAGTAGAGTGTCATTCGCAAACTTCACCCTTTGTGCGAATTACATGTGCACCCAAGGTAAAAACTTGGGCGCAAAGTTAAAACTTGCTCCAGGAACAAGATAGCGCGTGACAGCCTCCCAAATAATTGTCACTGGTTACCGGCCTTAGAAAGATATGTGATTTGTTGTCGTCGGGGTACCTGTGAACCCCTAGTCACATTGAGTGGTCTGGTAGCTAGACGCTTATTAATGCAATTTTGTTGATCTCAAATTTGACTAACAAGACACCATTCCGTAATAGCGTTTTTGGCACAACGTGTGTCGCCGCGTGCCTTTGCCTTGGTGGTGCGTAAGTTCGTTATTTCATGATTACCAGAGAGTCTTTTCCAGCTGTCATGCCTGGCAATGCGGCAATCATATAGTATACATTCAACTACCACAAGGAATACGTTGGTATCAAAACGGGAAGCAAAAAAGATGTCGCTGTGTGTGTTTCTGCACGAAAAACCTAGCATCAGCGATAAGGCAGGAACACAACGTCTGCCTACGTACGCTGCCACCACTGCCATGTATGTACATGTTCCACGCCACTTCTCGGAATGATCTTTCAGTCCTCATGTTTGTTTAAATTTTTGAAGAATCTAAATTTAAACGTTTTAATGTTCACACAATCAAAAACTGTTTCAAGTTTGATTTTTAATGAAATGTGATGCCATTTTTGCATAACAGTTCCTAGTTTGAAATGAAAATAAATTAATTGATTTAATTTTATCATTTTAAAACGAATTGAGCTGAAATGCATAAAATCATGAAATGCCGTTATGTTTCGTTCTTAATTTTTATTTAGGCCCCATTATTTTTATACTTGTTGCATGGAAATGTTTTTCCTACTTCAAGATATTTTTGTTTTTCAAATTCACCTGCTTGCCCAAACCTACATGTAAATCCTAGGCCTGTCTCCTTGTGAACCTTGTCATAACATTTAAAACAGATGAGTTACATGCATGTGAAAAGCGAAATTCCTCAGTGTTTATGAATGAGAAATAAAACAGTTGGAAAGGAAATTTTATTTTAATTTTATTGTCTCTTTGGGTTGCATTGATTGCATGCAATATGCCTGTCGCGACATTCGGAGCAGGTCAAAAAGTAAACACATCACTGAAGAATTCAAACTAGAAAGGAACAACGAAAAACTGCTAAATTCCAGGACAATTCTGTCAAACTAACGCATACATATTGTTCTGTGGTTTACAGCCCATCTTCACAGTTTCAATGTACAGAGATGAGTTCTATCCATTTATTTACAAATGTGGTCTTGGTCTCGGACGGCCGGTCTTGGTCTTGGTCTCGGTCTGTCGGTTGGTCTTGGTCTCGGACTGGCTGGTCTTTACTACAACACTGGTTCAAGGCACTTGTCAACTGTACGTATCAGGGTAAGGTTTTGTCAAACAAGTGGGAGGTGCATCACTGTTCAAACTTCGGATTCGGTTGATCTGTTTGTGGGCCCAATATTGTAACTGCGAAAACATGGGGAAAAGTCTCGCACAAACTGTCCTTGGCTAACATGATAGGCTTACTTTCGCATTTGCCTTCGTACGCAACAGAGATGATATTGCCCCTCGAGCAAGACGTCCGGCGGAGTTGGCACAGCGTCTCGTAAGTCACATTATCGGCGCCGCACACAAAGTCTTCCCTGAACGGGCCCGGACACGTGATGGCGCTGTAGGACACGCAATGCGGCCGGCCATGCTGGTCCTCCACGCAACATTTGTCGTTGAGACACTCCACGTCGTCGCAAGAGTCTGATCGGGTAAGATGAAACGTAAAAGCTGATAATTTCTGTTACTTTATTAAAACAGGCTAGGGTTTATGCAGCGGTGTATCTAGGCCTTGAAAAAGACTATCCATTCTGTGAAAGTATCCCCTAAAAGAAAGCCGGTACTACCGATTTTAATATGCCAGCACTTTCAATTCCTGAAGATATCAAAATATCAACATGTCTCGGGGAAACTTTCCCACTTGATGCACCATTGACCAGAAGACTTCTGAACGTGTTTCCACACTTTATGTTGGAGGATTCAAAGAAAATAAGATTGTCTTTCATATACCCTGAAGAGCGTAGGCAATGCATGAAACCTACCAAAGAGTCATCGTATGGCTTCCAGTAAGTTCCAGACACTGTGATGGAATAGTTTACCTTGACACTCTCCGAGGTATGACACGTGGAGGTCATCGTAACCATCCTGTTGGCGGCATTTCATCTTGAGGAAGGCGCACATGCTCCTGTACTGCTTGTTGTTGCTGGCGCACACAGGCCCTCGGTGCGACGTGCTGTTATGCGTGCAGTTCGGCTTGCAGACGCAACGGGGCTTTCCGCTCTTCACGACGCACTTCCGGCCGGTCGGGCATGTCGTCTGCTCGCAAGTTCCTGAAGAAAATCAGTTTTGTTTTTGAAAGGAATGGGTGTCAAAGTAATCCTCACACCATGAGCATCTCGCAGGGAGGGGGAAGAGGGGGCACTCTCAACCGAACAAGATAAACGAAACTGGAGGGAGAAAAGGGATTGAAAATCACCAATGCCATTGAAAATACTTCAAAATTACCCCCGGTTGCCACCACTTGTGCTATATTAATTTGCGTCGACGAGTGCTTTATCCCCTCCTGGGAAAAGTTTCTCCCTCGGAAAATATCCTGTATGACCAGTGACACAGATCTGTGCCGGAAATGGGGGGTGGGTGGGCAATGAGAAATGATAGGAAATTTGAAGGGGGGGCTGACACCATTTGACACAATAGATGGGCAATTTCCACGATACAATATTTATGTAAAACCACGGAGGAAGGACACAGAAGGAGTTACAACTCTCACACATCAAAGTGCTCGATGATCATCGCCGCCCGGTCAGACGAACAATAGTAAACGTTCCAAAATGCCTGATTACTGCCTGCAGCTTAGCCGGACAAGTGGGCCAGTAATATCTTAGCGATATTTGTGGTGTTTTCTTTGCAACTATTCGCAGTGACCTGGAAATAGAAAGAATGTCTAATGTCTAGCATTAGATTTACTTTTGCCGTTGTGAATAATTTTTTTTAAGATCTTGATGCACTTTTCCATTATCCATGCAATGTTTGTAATTTTATTATGTCACTCCAAAACATCAGTTTTCAAAGTCTTTGTACGAATTTGGCTAAGACTGGCCAACGACATGTTGACCACCACATGACTGTTAAGTTCACGAAAAACGACATGCGCTGTTTCATCACAAGGAGCGATCATGAAATCTCATAAAATACCTTTTTGTGTAAATTCAGCAATAAAAATTATTCAAATAAAACACAAAATCTTATAAACAACGTGGCTAGTTATTCCCAAAACAAGTCCAGAAGAAAGCGTTCGATAAGGGCAATAACTGCACATGAAAACTTACGGCACACAGCCTAATGCTAACAAATGAGCAAGCATTAAATTTGATGTTGTTGTCAGATCATACCAAGCCCCAACAATTGCATGTACATGTATATTCAACTTCCTATACTGCAGTACACGACGTTTTAAGGATGCAGATTACCAGCGAAAAATTGCGGCGATGATCATGGGGTATAAAAGGGGCTTATGGGTGTGAAACAGGTGGTGCGTAGCAAGCAGTCGCTGCGCTCTGGCTATGGACATACCGGGCATGCCAGAAAGTGGTAATTAGCCAGATGTTGTAGCCCAGGCAGTTCAAACTCCTTCTGTGTCCTTCCTCCATGGTATTACATTCATGCAGAATCTTACATCAGAATGGCATATTTGAAACTTTTTGATTGCCCTTTTCCTTGAATGATATTGAATATATTGCTGGGAAGTCCAAAAAATCTTCACAATATGCTGTAGGTTTTTCCTCACCAGGAAAACGTGGGGGATGACTCAATAGTCCATCCCCCATGTCAAAAAGAGGGGAATATAAATCCCCACCCCCGGGGATTTATGCTCATGCTGACGACGCCCACGCGCGCCTCAAATCAGCATTTTAAAATGGAAAGAGCACACATAATTATTGCCCGATCTCACTTATCCAAAGTATTTTCCCCGGCAACATGAAATCTCACCCTACCCTCTAAAAAGTTTCCAAATCCATTTTAGTTTTAGAAGCCCCAGGGCAAAACCTTTTTGAAAAATAAAGACAGAAAGGCGATTTTCTTTGGGGCAGGGGGGCAGTGTTCGTTTCCTTCCCTTTCAAAAGCGTATAGAAAGCTCTCTGTTTAGCTCGCCCCTAAGTAATGTCACTTGAAGGAAATCTCCTAGTTGTTTGCCCCTGAAAATATTGCTGAGGATCAGCCCTTGCATGAGATTCAGTGGAGCGATTCATACATTACGCGACCGTGGCAGACTGTTGCAAAAATTCACGAGTCTCATTTCGACGAATGTCGCTGAGGACTGATGGTGACGTTAACGTCCCCTCGCGCTTACGTCAAGTACATGAACTCACCGTAAGTCGAACAGCGAAGAGTCATTTTTGAAATCATTTATGCGTGAACCTCGCAGGAGAGATGGAAGAACAATGTTGCCGTCTGCAATGCCTACTGACTGTACCGTGTTATAAATCAGCCAACCATTTTAATAACGATAGCCCAGGGACTGTATAGGCCGAGTTGGTTTTGTTTGTTTGTTTGTTTGTTTGTTTGTTTGATGGGGTGTTTGGTTCTTTGTTTCGAACACAAATTGGCGGTATAAAAGCCATGTTCCAAACGACATACACGTAGCTTACTTTCGCAAAGATGGCAGTCCGGAACTCCTCCGTACAGGGTCTCATACTTAAAGAGATCCTCTGCTGAGATGTCGTCCAGATTGGACCAGGAGATGCTGTCACCATTGTTCTCGCAACATTCTTCCACCGTCATGTTCTCCGCTATCAGCAGGCCGCACGTCTCGCTGTCCTCGTCACGTTGCGCCCAGCAACTGAGACCTGAGTAAAGCGATGAATATGGGGATGTTATCAAGGCTAGGCCTAGCAGGTATTCAGGTGTCTCTTCTAGGGTATAGCTAGTACTGAAAACTGTCCCCAAAAATGGTCAGACAAAGAAAATTGCACTCACAATTCCAGATGAAGGTTATATGCAAAAGAAATTTACCCCAACCCCAATATGACTACGGAAAGGGGCATCGTGTGAGTAGCAACACTGTCATGCACAGCTACCTCCTATACGGCGAATAAGAACTTGCTGAATGCCTAATTGGGAACTGTTTTCTTTCTTTCTTTCTACGTTTTATTGATTAGAAAAAACAAAAAACAAACATACATTAAAAGGTAAAAGCACGAATCATACAAAATTAAGGAAATTGGAAAAACATAATTAGAAAGTATATCGTAGAAAAGGGGGCCGTGATGTAGAAAAGTGGGCACTGTACATGTACATTTGAAATAATTGCATAGGGTCTACCGAATTACAATTGAAATTTCCATTTTTAAAAGAAGTTTAAGGGTTTGATTTTTCATAGTAATCTTATATTCTATATCATATTGATTTTGTAAAAATAATCCTAACCCCAAAAAGGAAGGAATTTGAGTCTGGAATTTACATCTCGGCCTATATAAACAAAACTTAGTAAAAAGAAAAACATATGTCAAAAATTTATAATGGGGAACACCAAAAAGAATTCCAATTTCCCAAACCGAATATGGTCTTTTAGATTTGGACTGATAAAAGACATGAGGTCTGACAAGATGGGTGAAACATGATCACACTCACAAAAAATCTGAATCGAAGTTTCACCTAACCGAGAACTTATTTGTCCCGTCTGACAATGCGCAAGAGAATAATGTTGGCGTTTTATATGAATCTACAGACAAACCGCAGCCGTTTCTCTTGACAAATTCCATTACGGTCCCGTGAGACTCTTAATTAATTGACGTTTCCCTGGACATAGTTTCCAGTAAATTGTTTTCTTATTGGGCAATTTATCAGCTTGAGTAAAAACTTGGATCTTGAACATTGTCAGAGTGCTTGCATCTTGAAGATAATAGCTCATGAGCTTTTTCCCCTTTAACACCTTGAGTAATAACACCTCACTGCTTGTCCGGCCTGCAGCTATACGGATGACTGGAAACCAATAATTTCAAAACAAACGCTCCCCAACCTTTTGGCCTGTCACGCTTAATAAGCTGTCCTTAAAATACGCCACGGCAGTGGAGTGTAGATGTGTTGAGAGCGAAAGTATGTCGAAAACCTTTAAGTGCATCACTATGTCACCCATAATGCTCTTTCAGGAATAAATAAATCATTCCAAAGCCGTGTATTTGTTTATCTCATGCCAAAGTGCGGTCAAAACATAATGTTCGCAGGTGATCAGTGATTGGCATAACTGGGTTGAAATTTTCGGGGGGGGGAAGAGACAACTAGGGGTGCACTCGTCGTGGTCTCGTTGCATAATAGTGTGGACAGTCCACTATCGAAAATAGTCATTTTCTTGAACAATAAACACTGGTTGGGGCTAGATGTTTGTTTGTTTGTTTGTTTGTTTCTTTGACTCTTCCTTTCCTTTTGCTACTAACCCATAGATGCACCTTAAGCTGTTTTCCAGAGAGCGGGAAATGTGTGGACCTTGGCAAGTCGACACGTCTCCACTACCTGCGTTATGTAGACAGCATTTGTGAGAAGGTTCACAACATGTTTGTTAACACACTTTCTCCTTGGACTGAAATAACGAAAGTAAATATATTGCGGCTTGTGTAAAGTTCTTATCCATTTCAAGATTTCAAATAGGGGCGTATTGGGGGGCATGGACATAGACCGTCGCAGAGACTAGTCTAAACCTCTCGTAAATTGTGATGCCCAATTAATGTTTTAGAAGCATTTTAATAGCATACTTAAAAATTCCAATGCTTTAAAGGGATTACTCAGTATGATTTGTTATAGTTAAACATGATTAGCGTATTATGGATGCATTTTATAACTAGAATCTCCCACAAGTCGATTCGCCTTTTTTTATCAACATACACATGGTGCACACATGCCTCAGTTCCCCCAACAGACTGGCCCGGCAACAGCATGTGTTTGGTTTTTATTTCAATCAACGGTACCCAATCATGCAAACAAAGCACTGAAGGAAAGGGGTTCTATCCAGTCCAATCGCGGTCAAGTGTTCAAACTCAAACCTTTCCAACCCATGTTTTTTTGTGGTCTTCTAGACAGCTAGAACCACACATACTTCGTAGTCCAAACTGTGAAACGCGGTGGTATTTACAAAGTGTCTGCGTACTCGGTACACCTACGAATGCTGGTTAAACACGACGCTTTGAGGTCTATAGCATCTCTCGAATCAAACAACCCAAAAATCAATGATGTGTCAGTCTGTTCTACCCAGAAAAAAATCATGTCCATTGTCGGGACTTTGTTTACACAGACAAGCGAAATGACATTCACGAATGTCGGGTATCAGCATAATTGGCTGGGTGGTTTACCTTCGCCAAACATAATTTGGGCCAATCCCGGATGATTTATGTAATTTGCCCGTGTCGCCTCGGTCAGAAATCGGAACATTTGATTCATCAATCTTTCAATTTGTGTGTTAGAGTTACAAATGCTGAGTTCACGAGGTTTTTTTTTCTGAGGGCGGCAAGAAGCAAGGCTGTAGCTTGTTTGGGTGGTCCGTGAGCTGAGGAAATGGGGGCAGAGAAAAGAAAGAAAGAAGAAATGACCCCCAAGGTTCTCCCCCGGGGGAACAAAGGGAAATCCCTCCAAACCTTTGCAAGATCATGTTGGATTAACCGTGATGACTGATAACCTGAAAACAGAGATGAGAGAACATGCTTGGGAATTTTGCTCTCTACGGGCTGCGAGAACGTGAAAAAAGAAAATTGAATTAGCTCAGAGGTGCGAAGACATGTGGGACCTTTCGCAGTGGCCGCCCCCGGAGTAGTTCATGGTCAGAAAAGTCAAATTACATACTCAGCTGTGCAATGGTTACCTGGTGCATGCACACGTGTCATAGCGTGCTGGATTATGATTTGAGAGTGATTTCCCGAGGGGTCTTGTGACAATCAAGTGCAAAACTATCTAGATCCTAGTTTTCTGAATAGTTTCAGGGAATGGAGCAAAGAGCCACAAAAGAACAATTTTGGACCCCGCCGTCACGCCACAGGAAATACTGTCCAGTGTGAGCATGGAGGAAGAACATGGTTCGAGTTTCCTTTAGAAATAAAGGAAATCCACTCTAGGCTAGAATTAGAGGTTTACAACAACGGTACTTCACAAGCCCCAAACTGTCAAAACTTCTGTGGGTGGGGGTGGGCGTATCGGCGGGAAAAGTGACAGATTCTTGTTGGTCGGCCAATTTACACCAGACGGTAGTGTACTGCTCTGCTGTCACCCTTAGCGTGAGTGCAATTATCACTAACCATTAGAGGGGAATTTGACGTGTCCCTGCCCCCGTATTTTTGGACGGATGGGATGTTGTGTAAACATCTCTGAAAGTTGTTTGTGCATGATCATTTTAAACCATCTGCGCGGTCCTATCTGCCATCCACAACTGATTGCAATCAGAATGTTCGTATTAAAAGGACCAGAGTAAGAGTACTCATTTACAGGTGCTGATAACGACATCAGTTCGTCATACAAGCTCGATTTTTCTGAACAGGTTTTTGGCGATAGCCAATGGGGTTATCGACTCTCAAATCAACGACAGGTATCGCTGCCTCTGCTACGTACAGAAGTACCGGCTTTAAAAAAAAATCAACCATGAAACAATGCTTTGAAAGGGGCTACCTCCATGATCCGATATGTTGGGAATGAGTTCACGGGTCAGAGCCTCAGTCCGACCGATGAGGAATTTCCAAAGTCTTGACTTCCTCGCTTGTAAAAATGAACACACGGTCATGACATGGTGTATGTGCTGTGTGTGTGTGCAGGGAGGCAGGAAGGGGAACACCGAGGTGCGATATCTCAACCATTGTGGCGAGGTTATCGAGAGGTTAGCCAAGTGACCTACCAGCAGCGACAGGTGTGGGCGCACCTGCGACTCCTGGGTGGGCCCAGGGCATGTGTTCCTAATCCTTCCATCCACCCCCTCTTTAGGCCGGGAACGGCCCCTCCTTTGTCCTAGTGGGTGTTCCTGCAGTAGCTAATAATGCAAAATCTACACCTACGGGATCAGGATGGATTATTGCCAATTTTTCCCATTCAGCGTAACCGGTCAACCTTCAAGTATGACATAAACACAACCTCAAATAGGAACGGTTGTACCCCTTGACCTCTAGTGTCATAGTCGTATTTGTCGCTAATTCGCTGAGCCGTTGACAAAGGGGAACGACTGACCAATGCAAGTTACACCACGTGGATGGCACCAAACTGCAATTACATCCTTTTAACACTGCACACCGTGACGACACGAGGGAGAAGACTACACTTAAGAAGGGGTTTTTTTTCTTTGACAGTGTGATGTTCTGTACATTCGCGACGGTACGAAGATAGACTGGCGATGACGTCAAAGGACTAGACACCTGCGATGTCCATTCAGTGCCATCCAGACACGCAGACTGGTCGGATGTCATTATGTGGCCAGGATCATTCTCGACTTATACTACCCCCACTTTACATCTTGACATTTACTCGCGCATGACTCCCCTGATAAATACTGCCTAATTACGCCAGCGCTTTGATGACCGAAACTGCTTTCTCAAGTCCTCCATTTCTCCTTCATTTCCGTCAAAAGGGTACCATTCCCTTCGGTACAGAGTTAAATGACTTAAGTACAGGACAACATTCATGATTGCGGCTGATGGGGGAGAGTGGAGCGCTCTAAATCGAAGGGAGCAATAACCAGGCGCCGCGGAATGATAAGTCGGGACCGCGGAGCCAAGGAGACAAGCGCCGCGAATGTCGCAATTAATGCGTCGGTTCTGGAGGGAGGACTCAGACAGGCGAATAATTACGGGAGCTTGGGGATATTACGCTTGGCGAGGTATATGGGACAGAAGTATGTCATCAACCTGAAAGAGGACACGGTTTCATAAGCAGGTCTTAACACGAATGTCAACCGGTCACTACCCGAAATGTGTTTGCCAATTGTGACACATACCTAGAGGTCTCCAAGGAAATTCTGAGTGGTTGAACCAGTTCCAAAGACCTTTCCCGTGCTAAGTTTTAAAGAGGACTGTCGTAAATTCGTAATCTTGAGTTGTGACGTATAGTTTGAAAAACCTTTCTCCAGGGGAAGCACGAGGCAGTGGGTGCACCAGTGGGTGGGGCAGTGGGTGAGGTGTCCTCCATTGTGGCTTGTGATGCGGGCTGGGTAAGCTTGCTTACCGCGTGGCCGCATACGTTTTCATACTTGCTTAAGTTCCACAGTTCCAGAGGCAAAAGACATAATTATCTCTGATTGAAAACTTTGTGATTCATCCAATATTTTGTTGGAGAGGGAACTCTAGAACTCAGGGAATTTGTATCAACTGTAACCCGAGAGTAACGACATCTAATTTACAAAATTTAAATGTTGTATATACATGTATATATATATATATATATATAAGCTTCAACATGTTCCGTTGTTGTCCCTATTTCTGTTGATAATCTAGCACAGTTGAAATAAGCGCATGGTCACTTTGTAAAAATAAATGACACAAAGCAGATCTGAGACTCTGCAAATTACTCATTTTTTCGAGCCATACTGGATTTTGGTTGGCCAAAGGTTTTCAAGAAACGAGTGATAGAAGTCGCTTGTCCTGTATTCTGTCCTTGAAGCGTAGTCATCAAACAGTAATTAGTTTGATTGCTCCAATTAGTTCACACCTCGCTGTGTGGTAAAAGAGCTCATCTAATTAACGACCCGACAATCACTAGGCCACCCCGATAACGTACCGAAACACACGCCACTGTACGAGTCGGGTTCCGCCCGCCGTGTGCTGGGGTCTTGCCGGCCATCTCCCGTGTCTGCGTGGATATTCACTTATATTGAAGAGAAGCAACTAGGATTCCTCTCATTTGAAAAAAATGCGTTTCATAATTTGAAATTTCTCTGCTTAAAGTTTGCCCACTTTTCCACAAAGATGTTTTAAAGGTGTCTTTAATGTCTTCAGTGCCTTGGAGATGCCTGTCAAGTAGTTGGTTAACACAGCCACCATCCCCGAATGATGGCTTTATATTCAAGAAAAAGAAAGACTGCAAACGTTTTGCCTGGTGTAAAGTCAAGTCTTAACCAGAATTCGAAGTGACTCGTATTATTACCACGAACCTGTCTTCGTGGTAGTTAACAGTGCTCCGTTGAGAGAGGCAAGTATCAAGGACTAGTTATCAAAGGGAGGTACATGTTTGTCGCCGATGGGTGTGAGATTGTGAGGCATCGATCAGATCAGTCAGGGTAAATTGTCGTTTGCTGTTCTGCCGTTGTTAAAGGCCTATGTTGTTTTATCTAAGTTAAGGTTTTCTACGTTTCTCTATACTCAGCCAGTCTACAGTCTAAATTTTTAGGAATTTCGAATGCGTATCCAGATGCAAAATAAGGATGAATTATGTCGTTTCCTAAACTAGATGGGCGAGCTAAGTAATTTGCTACATCGAAGAAAAACATTCAAAAAAGGGCAAACCTCAGCAAGACAACTATACACGATGCAGTGCACAAACAGAACATCAGAACAGTTTGAAGAAAAACAAAGTACTGCATGAATCGAAAAGCACACACCCAATCGTCAGAAGGGGCCAATTGAATTTTCATTAAGCAAGATGATGATGGAAGACGTGCACGGCCTTTTATTTCTACTAAAAAATAAATATATACGGAAGTTACTGCACGCACATAAAATGATATATCTAACAATTAAAGAGATCCGTAAGTTTTCATAAGTACTTCCACAGATGCCTCTCTTTAATTTTGGTTTGTCTTTCAAGATGCTCGTGGGTAAAGAGAGGAAGTGTTTGTTGACATCAAATGGTATAGACAGTACCGGAAAAAAAAGACACTGATAGCCCACGTACCGTGTAAGGATGTCGGCCCATGTGCCAATAGTAGTACCATCCAGGCTGCTGCGACGGGCAACCACCTTAGCGTGCTCATGATGATTGAGATACGTCAGAAATGCTGTCGGAGATCTACATGGGAGGTATTATCACCAACAGGAGGTGCGGTGGGGTTTTTATGCTCACTACCCCAAGACGAAATCTTCCACGGGGTGACATTAGCCAGACAGACGACCAATCAGACGCTCGTGGGCGAGCGGCAAAACATGTATGAACGTCCAGGGACGCGGAATGATATCATTTCGGAGAACTTTGAGGCCAGGAGTTCACGCGTCGCCCTCTCCTGCCGTAGGATGCAAAAGAAGAGGATCGCTCATTGATTTCACCTGCGGAACAACCATTTTCTTGATTGCTCTCTCAAGCATTATTTGAGTCCTTTGCTCCTGGCGTAGTAGACAACTTTATTGTATTTATACCTACACGTCTTTGTCACAAAACAGACAGCAAAGATTCATGACGACGTCTGGATTAAATTTCATGTAAAAGCCAAGCTAAAGGATCCTTAGCAAACTTGTTAGCACAGCAAATACCTCGGCAATTCCATTGAAAAAGTGCATAATTTAGTGCTTATCATTAATACAGGCCCCTGGGCAAAATCTCATGAGGTACATAGGTCACTGGCAGACGCCTTGACGCTCCTCGATATTGCTAAACGTCGCTTCGCTGGACAAAACAAATACGGTGAGCGTGTTCGTCGCTGAGCTAAATACTCACCATCCCAACGAAGCAAACGAATGTTAAATTGAAATGTAGAGAATGATGCGCTTTGCGTCGTCGTGATACTGAAGAAAATCACGTACCGAGTGGAACTCTTGAAATGTGGTTGGCGACTACATGATGCGCAGGTCTGTGAAGTATAAGGGCCTCCTCTATCAACGGCTTGGACTTCAAGCTCTTAATAGCTTTTAACATGCGTTCAATTTCTATGATGCTTTGATGCTGTCGCGATTTTAAAAAGTCTTGTGCATCTGTTTTTCTTTCTGTTTAATACCGTTTGTTGGATGCTTGATGTAGTGCATTTCAAATGTGAAACATACTTGTGAAATGTAAAATAATGTTGTGCAATGCTGTTCTACCAGAACGATGCTAAAAGTCAGTTGAATCGATTAAAATTGTAGCATCTTTGGAAAAAATTTGTCCATAAGTGTTGATGAATGATATTTTCAACCAGGTTGAACATTACGTTGAGATATGTCTTTTCTCAGGACAGTTGAGGCAACGGGCACTAGTAATATGAGGTACCGCTTACCCATTCGAGGGATTGGTGCCCTCACTTAAAAGAATTCAACGAGAACTCTGATATATGTGAAGATACGATCACATCTACTACTGTGTCCCCCACGTGACTCTCACAGACCACAGTAACGCTACTGGAAAGGTCCACGGACTTAAGGACTACCAAGGACCATTTTTTATTTTATGAGGACATACCCACACAAAAGCAGTGCCACCTTGCAGATTGAATGTTGGAGAAGACTGACAGCCCATATAAACTCCAGCTTGGAATTTTAGAATGAGGTGAAATTTTCGAAATTCGAATCCAACTGTCAGTATGGTAGTTAATGGGTAGGCCCTTTAGACCGACACTAGTGGATGAGGGCTTAAGCGGGTAAGTTCTTGGTCTTTCGTTATCAGAGTAGATAGGATTCAATTCGCTAAGAGAACTGGGTTACATTCATGGAGGGGCGCCGGGTGGGTGAGGTCACAATATCGTAGACTGTGATATTTTTCCCTCTTCAAACTTCCACTGGGGCGCACAGGGACAGGAGCAAGCCTCGATGGGGGCGGAGGTGTTCTCACACCCCCCCCTCCATCACGCCACTGATCTACCGATTGTGTTGGTGCAAGGAGCGACAAGTCTTCCAAAAGCACACCTATAACTAGCAACCCGTGCCTCGCTCTATCGCACCCCAACAGTGAGTCTGACTAATGAACCCCATCTGCCTACCTAAGTCAAAGGAAAGGCCAGGGGTTAAAGGATAGAAGCGAAATTGAGGTCTCCCGTCCACCGGGGATGAACCCAAGAACAGGGGGAAGAGAGTGTGGGCGATCATCATCGGAACTAAGCAAAAAAAAATCACGGACATAAAACAGATGGGAAAACGTAGAGTATAAATCAGGCCCTGACTGGTCCCCAGACGCCTGGGCAGAGACGATGCCTCTCAGCGGTCATGCCCGAGACTTATCCATCATGTTGTATTTGGATAGCACCTCGAGGAAAGGTGACGTTCTGAATTAATGCCATAAAAAAATGCCTTTAACATCTCACACAAGGATACTGCGTAAGCCGTATGTGATCAGTCTTCCAGAATGTTCGGGCTCGCTTTTTTTCTGTTTTTTTTTTTTGGTTTTTTAGATTGAAGTTCTAGAATTTGAATGATACACTTTCACCACTGAGCCTTTTTTCCCAAAAAGAGACAGAAATTATAGCTGAGTCCTCAGTCCGCTATGTGACTATTTTTATAGATGTTCATCTCTTACTAAATAAAGCCAATCCTGTCAGAAAACTACAACCTTCGTCTGTAGTGTTATTGAGACCATTAAAACGTGCGTGGTGTACTTTTCAAACACAGACAGGAGTTATCACGAAAGGTCATTCCAACTTGGAAACGATAGAAAGACTTGAGTGTGACTAAAAGTGTCCAGAATGCCCGTGAAAACGCTTGCAAATTCATGAAAAGATATCTAGAATTGAAATTTGCCAAATAAAATTTTTATCAATGGACAATTCGGGCCCGTAGCCGGGGAGTGTAGGGGCTGGGCCCCACTGCCGAGAAGCTGCCCCTCCCCCCATCAGTGAAAAGAATGAACATGAAAAATATATTTTATTGTGGTGATGTGACCCTCCACTGATACTGTGGCCCTCCTTAATGCTTGACGCTGGCGACCATTTCACTTGAAATTATGTTTCCCTAACATCTTGAAATAGCACCTTCGCATTAACCTTGTTTCCAATTTGCTATTTTTATCTTTACTTTTGGGCAAGTTCACTCCATTCACGTAAAATAGAAGACGAATGAGACGCGTCTGGCGTGAACTTGACAGCCTACTTATTATGCAGTAAAGACAATCCTGTAGACTATTCAGACAGCTGTTCCTTATAGTGCTTCCAATATGTACATGTACATGTATGTAGCTATGTAGTAGTCTCGATACCAGTGAATGTACGTGTTGCTCACTTTAAAGCTTCAGTCAATAAAGCTCCAGTCAAAAAGTGAAGTTCTTTTTTGCTGTCTTAGGTATTAAAACTCAGCTATTTCCGTCTTACGTATATCACCACACTGTCGCACATATACAAATCGACGTACAGCCTATACATAAACCCAAAATATTACAAACTACAAGAAAACTCGCCTCAAAAACAAGAAACATAACAATATTCTTAAAATTTCCAGAAAAGAAAAATCCTGTAATAGTTTGCAAAAAGGGAACGGTCTGACGAGTCGTTCACTTGAAGTCACGACTCCTTCGAGTTCGAACAATGTGAATCTTGATGTTGTTTTGGTGTGAATCTCGTCTGAATTCATTTTAATAACTTCGCCTTTCGAAGCAATACAGGTATACCAACGTGTATCGACCCCAGTTTGCGCGCGTCGGGTGCGAACAAAATAATCTCAATTGAAGTAAATACATTTTGGCTTATGAAATTTGATAAGCCTGAGGATCAAAGGTCGGTGAGCCATTATGTGACGCAGACTAAATACAATGGCGGCGTGCGTCTTGGAAACCACTTTTGGATGCTGTAGCACAACTTGAACCTCTGAGATGATGATACATATAAATTACTTCACCATGAAACTTGTATACGTGTATTTTTAATAGAAACATTTAACAGAGGGAGCTTTTACGATGGCGATGGAACTGGACGAGGCACTTGTTTTCCTGGGTGATTTCGGTCGCTACCAAACCTTAATCTACTTGCTGATATGCCTCGCAGGTCAGGTTCCGTCAGCCTGGCACATGCTGGGAATATCCTTTCTGGGGGCAGTGCCGGGTCATCACTGCAAGGTACCGGCGGGTGAACAGCTCGAGGAGACGGTACCAAAGGTTACCGGGGACAACGGTGAGGAGTACTCGAAATGTTTCAAGTACGTGAACATTACGGTGGATAATGAGACGATGCCTTGCGACGAAGGATGGAATTACGATCAAACGTATTACGGGAACACTGTTGCTACCGAGGTATAGTTACTGCTTGGATTTTATGCGTGTAGTATCCAGTTTCCAGGACACTTGCGTCACAGGGTCCATACTAGTCTTGGTCAAGAGCTGGCGTGGCTAGTTGTGGTTTGTGCGTTCCAGCTATTCGTCTTCTGAGCGCCCTCTCGCTTATAAACAACACGACAACGTCTTGATCAAGACTAGGGCCATACCAGCTCAGAGAGCCGGAATTATGGGGGGGGTCAGTGCAGTTGTATACAAACAAAACTTTTCTCTATACAGTCTCAGTGAGAGTAGCACAGAAGCGGGGTGGGGGCATAGTGGGGTTGGCTTAGTGGTTCTTCCCTCGCGTCCCACCTCTGCGGTCCGGGTTCGATTCCCAGTTCGGTCCACCATGTAGATTTGGTTTTCAGTCCCTACCTGAATTCGTGGGTTTTACCCAGAAATATTCTCTTGGGGTTTTCCTCCTGGCTAAAACTGTCACTGCTTCTCATTGTCTCTTCTCTACAGGTTTCTTCAGGCTTGCGAGCAATAAAGTGTCTAGGGCACTTTTGAGGAATCCTTGGTGTCATTACCAGAAATGAATAATAAAAATAATTAAAAGCATTTAGGCCCAAGAGTGGTGCCCAGTAAACCCCAATAACACCTGTTAAGATTTGGTTGAGCTTTGTGCCTCGGACAATCAATGTATGCAATTCTGACCTTTTGCCCACTTCAAACGCCGACTTTTGGGGTTGGTCATACTTGGAGTGTAGCTTATAGATTCGCATAAAAATCCTGTAGACTGTTCGAAGGGCGTGTACATCAGAGAAGCAACATCAACCTGCATCACGAAACAGCATAAGCATCATAAAGTAAAACACAAATGCCCAAAGTTACTTTCTTGTGGTTCATCAGAGACATGCACTTAAAGTATGTGTGAGTGTAAACAAAATGGCGATTCCTTGAAAACAGTTAGCAAGGGTTAAGTGGGTCATTGCCCGCCAGAAATATGATTTATTTTTCAAAATAATTTACGGAGTGTTTTTTTTGGGGGGGCAGTTGCATTTACTTCCATTCCCAAAAGTGTGCAAAAAGCCCCCCCCCCCAAAAAAAAGAAAGCCCCACTCCTTAGGAAGGCCATAAACGGCACTTTAGATTTACTTGATTTAATCTCTTTTAATCTAGTTTTTAATTCCCTATTTTTGCCTCTGTAATGCACCTTTTATTATTTTTAATGATATGTTGCACTGCAAGATTGGTGATTTTATTTTATTAATTTTAACTGGTAGGGGTATTAACTTTTTTTTAATGTAGGTTTAGCTGTGAATCGTTATTTTAGTGTCACCGTGTCTGGTATAATTACTTTTGTTTTATCGTAGGTAGGGTTAGAGGTGTCTGTCCCCGGGAAGGATCGAGACATCAGCGATACCAGCAGGGTTAGGTTCTCCCTGTTGGCGGGGCAGACGTATCCTCATACAGCGGTTTGGATACTAGCGCGGTGAAATTCATTCATTTATTCTTATTCATTTATCCCTATCTTTCATTTCTTAAATTAAATTAATTAGATTAATTTTTTATGTCAACTTGTACTGCGCCGTTGATCATTTTTGTGGAAACTGCGCATTATAAATTTTCAATTATCCTTATTGTTATTTTAATTATTTTTTTATGAAAACCGCATATTGCAGATATGTATGTCTAATTATTATTGTTATGAAAAATTCCTAACATTTTAGGGGTTATTACACACTTCATGTGCCGTGGTAATCTGTCAGGTTGTATAGTACGACCTGCAGGCGATTGTGTAATAATGTTACTGCCTCTGTGTTTGGCCGCGCTCCAACGCGAGAGTTCATGGGTATGAAACATGGAAACTATTAAGCTGATATTACATTCCTGTGTGCATAGTGGGATCTAGTTTGCGAGAAGGATGCCTCTGTGGACCTGAGTCAGACCATCTTCATGTTGGGTGTGATGGTGGGATCGTTGCTCTTTGGCCAGCTCTCTGATCGCTTCGGCCGTCGGTACGTCTTTTTCCTCTCCCTGTGGGCACAGGTGGCGTTCGGCGTTGGTGCGGCGTTTACTGGCAACCTTTACGCCTTCATAGCGGTGAGGTTTTTTGTGGGCGTTATCGAACAGGTGGGTGCATGTTCAGAATTTGGAAGAGTCTTTCGTCTGCGTACTTAAAAACCCTATTCATGTAATGGATTTGTATGTTCAGAATTTGGAAGAGTCTTTCGTCTGCGTACTTAAAAACCCTATTCATGTGATGGATTTAATAGTTTTGCGAATGGATTGCATTTACTGTGACAGTGTGACCCTAACTTACCCGTACAACGCGGGAGTATTCTTTGCATCAGGCATTGCCACATTTGATATAAACATACGTGTAACTAGTTTGTGCTCTCCACAAACCCATCCCTCTTTTCAGGGCGTGGACATCACATCCTACGTCATGGTGACCGAAATGTTCTCGCCTTCCAGACGAGCCTTCGCTGGTATTCTGCTAACGCTCTTCTGGGCCAGCGGTATCATGTCTCTTTCAGGCATAGCATACTTACTGCGTGACTGGCGCCACCTACAGCTCGCCATCACGCTACCCAGCTTGCTTACCATACCGCTGTGGTGGTGAGTTTTTTGTTCCCGTTTCTTCTGAAGCAGGTGCCTATTGCTATGATATGCCTTTTGTCAGGCATTCAGAGTGTTTTGGAGAAGCACAGTCATTGGAGATCCCAGTTGTAGTTAACAGGCCATCTGAAATGACAAGACTTCACTCAGCATCAGTAGACCGATTGCGTCCGCTAAATCACGTGACCTATTGTGGGTATCAACTACGGACATGTATAATAAAATCTGGACTCGCAATGCCCTTAATCAGCTTATAGAGTCATTGAATCCACTCGCAGCCATTTCACCGAGCCGAATACAAAGCTTTCCTGGCAAAGCCCGCCTTTGTTCTTGCTGAAGTCAATAGAAGGGAGCCAACCCACGCTCATGTATTCGGCTCGGTAAAACAGCCGCTGGTTGGCTTCTTTTTCATACAAAGGCGTTACAAGTCCAGGTTTTTTATATACGTCTGTGGTTTCAACCCCATAGCAACATGTGTTTTGAGTGTTGTTAAGACAAACAATAAAGCTGATTTACGGGCACCTACTGTCACCTTTATTTTTTGGTTAATGATACTTAAGAAACACTTTGCTTTTGGTGGACACCGTGTTTGTTGATATTGAATACCCACTATTGGTCACGTGACTTAGCGGGCGCAGTTGGTCTATTTATGCAGTATTTTTTGCCTCGCGAGGCCGTGTGGCAAATTCCTTTTGATTTTTTTTCGCCTCGCGAGGCGAAAAGTTGGACGTATGCGGGTAATATGAGCTACCAAGCAACCAAACGGGCACGAATGATTGTTTTGGCTCAACAGATGACCCTTGTTTGCGGCGCTTTACGTCTTTTTCAGGATTATTCCGGAGTCTGCTCGATGGTTGATTTCGCGGGGTCGTGTGCACGAGGCGGAGACCATACTACAGAAGATCGCGCGGTTCAACAAGGTGGATCTACCCGATGGTGTGCTCACCGAAGACAGCAGACCGCATCGTTTCTCGCTGTCCGGGTTCGAAGGTCGAAATTTTTACTTTTGCCACGGTTCGATAGTCCTGAAATTGTGCCGGCCATGGTGTATGCTTCTTTGGGGGATCCAACGAAACACACGCGTACAGAAATCGGTGGCTTTTTGGAATCTGAGGATATCAATGTCATTAAATCGTTTAACAGCTGCCTCCACAAATGCCAAATCACTTAAAATTTGTGATAATGCAATATTATACACTTTTATTTGCGATGTCCTGATCTTGATGTTCTGGCTGTTCACAAAATGCCAGTCTGTCATTTCCCTTTCGAAATCCACGTGCAAAACACAAGTCCTGTTGAGAGAGAAAATCTCAGTCCATATTACACGTACATGGCAGGTGTCTCCTTTTCGCCATATTTTAGACAAAGGTCCTCCGAGCTCCAACGACCCATCACCATCGTCCCACGTTCAAGCCCCTACCCTGGATTCCAAGAGCCCGGCTGGTCTCCAAACCGCATATGTCAGTGACACTGAAGTGGAGATGCGGGACGAGGGGGCCACAGCCACACTGCCCACTCAGCCTGTGGGCGACTACGGTGTTAGTGAGAAGAAAGGCCGGGTCTACACCATTTGGCACCTGTTCAGAACACCGCAGATTAGGCGGATATCACTGGTGATGATTTTCACGTGGTGAGTACGTCAATTTCAAAGAAACTGTTGTAGGAAGTTTTCATCAAGTTAAAAGCTGTCTTTTCTAAGAGTGTGCTCTCTGCATGTTTTTTTAAAAGAAAGGGCAAGTTTTCGTGTTTACTTAAATTTTATCTGGCACTGCGTAAGGCAGAAAAATGTCATCTCAAAAGTCTGTTTATTATGTTTTTAAGCAAGCACACTCCATTGTTTACAGTGAATACCAGAGTTTTAACCCGGATTTTATTTTACCACTTTGAATATGTGTCCTTAGGTTTGTCAACAGTCTGGTGTACTACGGTCTTTCTTTGAACACCGACAGTTTAGCCGGCAACCCTTATCTAAACTTCTTCCTTAGCGGTGCGGTAGAGATCCCTGCTTACATAGTCTCCACTGCAGTCGTTACTTGGTAATATATCTCATGGAAGCACTTCAGAATCAAGAGCATACTGATTTAAAAAGGAGAATAACATGTTACCATTAGATTTTGTCTTGATTGAATATGAGAAAAAGAAAGGTTCTAAGCTTGGTTGCATTGTGGAAATTTTGGCAGGTTTGGCCGTCGGATACCACTCTGCGTGTTTCATGTGGCTGGAGGAATCGCGTGCATTGTGACCGCCTTCATTCCTCAGACAACAGGTACCTAACTATTTTCTTCCGTCCTGTTTAGGTGAATCATACCGAGACAGTTCGAATATGACCAGACTCTTCGAACTTCATATTTGCATTACCCGCTCACTGCTGAAGGGGGGGCGGCGGATTTCCCCCTTCGATTGTGATGTCCCTTCATAAATCTTTTAGAAACTTTGCTTGCATTAAAATAGACATCTAAATTGGGTACATCTTATCAAAATGTCTCGCAATCTCAGTGACAAGAGTTGACACTTTGGGCTTATATTTGTCCTTGAAAATCGAGCTTTGCGCGTATGCGAGGACTGAATGTCTGATTTGATGGGGGAGGTCTGCTCTGGGATCCTTTAGGCTTGGAACGTAACTTTTTAGAACAGAATCGAGACCTGTGAATTCAGGAGAGATGAATGGAAAACCGGACGCGGCATAATCTTTATTGTTACTCTTTTCATTCAGAGAGCGGGGTGGATCTTTCAGCACTTATTATCTCCACCGCCATGTTGGGGAAGTTCGGAATTGCTGGCTCCTATGCTATCGTGTTTCTTTATGCCACTGAACTTTTCCCAACTGTCACAAGGTAAACTGTAGATGCTAACACATTCTTTTATTTCTGGACAGATTATTATAATAGGCTTTCAAAACAAAATCGCCAAAGAAAGATATCATTGCATTCGTCGGGTGCGTAGCCAGGGATTTTGTTTGTCCGTCGCAAGCATGTATTTTCGTGCCGTTATGTTTTCCAGCGTAAACTTCAGGCTGTGAGGACGCCGCTAAGTATGCTGGTCGTATCAGGAATACTTCTGAACACATTTGCTAATGCGTGCATTTGTTATTTTCACTATTTTTTTTTCTTTTTTCGGTGCTATAGTATATTTTCAAAATGACAAACATTTTTTTTCGAAAAATTTGTAGGAATCTGGGAGTTGGCATGTCGTCCTTCTCATCACGTGTTGGAGGCATCCTCGCTCCGATTATCATGTATCTCGTAAGCTGCGTTTGATTCGAGTCCCGTAGATATGAACATTGCCTTTGCATCTTATGAAATCTGTTGGACTACATTCATATCTTTGGCAGTGTAGGATTTAGAAGGTGATAAGTCCTTTTCCAATTTTTTTCTTTAATGTCAGGAGAAATTTGCTGCTTGGGCGCCCATGGTCATATTTGGAGGGTTGTCTGTTATCGCTGGGCTGTGTGTGTTGGTTCTTCACGAGACGCTGGGAAAGAAACAGCCACAGACTATCGACGAAGTCGAGGGGACACAGTGAACATGCTCGGATTGAGACGTGATAAGGCGAGATGTAACCTGACAAAATCAAGGCAAGACCATGGAGGAAGGCAAAACGATACGACCGGAGATTTTGTCACTCAGAGGAATCGATTCATCGTCGTGCATTTATCCTTCTAGTAACATTTTAGTAACAAAGTATTTAAAACCTTGTGCCTGCTCAAGGCTTTCTTTTGTGCACTAAAATTTATATTTGCACGTGCACTTTAGTGCATATTTAAACATTTTCAGTCAAGGCCTTGGTTTGGGGTCCACAAACGGAAGGTGATTAGGAAATCAGCAAAGTCGATAGTTAAGCGTGTAATCTGCTAAAAACAGAAACGCAAGTCGTGTCCTATCTGTTACTTTGATGGCACCAGTCTCACTTTCGCTCGGTACAGAAATACACAGAAGTTAGTGATGATCCTAAGGCACTTCTGCCCGGAAACAAAGTGTTACATGTACATGGGGAGCTTTTGCATATCCGGCAATTTGCGCCCCTTGTTAAAACTTCATGGCGTAGAGCAATTATGATGACTGGCAAACAATAAAATGTACAAGCCCCGTTACGGGATAGGAAGTGCCACGGCTTTCATAAATAGGCCTACACGGGTTCGTTTGCAATCTTTAATCTTGGACCACCGTCGCTTCAAAGGGAAGAAGTGCAATGCTTTGGTGGGGGATGGGGCAATGCTGTCATTTTAAGGGTATGAAATTGAGATCAAACAGCACTATTACCTTCCACTAACGAATGAAAATTAACTTCCAACTGTGGACCCAGAAACCAAGATATTTGCTACTGCATGAAGAAGTCTGCTGATGGAGATGTAAGTTGTACGTTTCAGTACACTCTCTGTCTTGTTATGCTTGTATCTATTTTTTTTAAATCTGTATCAAATGCTGTTTTAAACCAAATACTTTATTTCGAACAGCAAACTCGTTGGATTTGAGATTACTGTTGGCATTTACATTAATTTTACAAAAACGCACAGGCACCATCAAGATTTAGGACCACTAATAAATAATAAATTTGGAAATTCAATCAATTTAAACAGTCATAATCAACTATCGTTCAGCTTGTAAATTCTTTTAAAAAGAAAAAGCTAATTGACTAATTTTTTTCAACATTGAGTAGTTATTGTGAGTTACCAGTAGATTTATTAATTTCATTTGAATTAATTGTTTTTGGAATTCTTTCAACGAGGTCACGGCAAGTCATACCCTCTAGCTAGCTTCCAATAAAGGAAACAAATAAAGCCGACGTACCGATATGTTTGCACACAGTGCATATGTTCCCGGCATTTGTCCCAACTCTCTCTAACTCGGAGTGCAAAGCTTGACGGATTAAAAAGACTGAATCTAATACAGTATTTAAATAACAAATGATTACGTCACCAGCATCTGGCCGCACGGTTTGACGCACTTCGCGTGTAGTGCACATTGCACGTCGAATTTCCCGCCAGGACAAGCACTGCTTATGCTGCTGGTGACACTGGGGGTCGTGTTAACGTTGACCGATGTACAGCTGATGTGCTTTTTTGCAGTAAATGATCTTTGCAAATGGTAGCATAAAGCAACACCATCCGCCATGGGCTCCCTTTCGGTAAGATTATCAGGCATTTAATATGGACAAGATGAAGAAATAGACCTCTGAAAGATGTGCTTTTCTGTTTTAGACTGCATGTGAAGTATATCCTAAAATATACGTATCAGCTGTTGGGATTGATTCAATAAAAATTATGCCTTCACAAAATCGCAATGTCGGAAAGATTATACTAACCCCGCTATGCTAGGAGAAGAACAGTTCTAAAATAAAAGTCTTCCACTTGTGTTCAGAAGAGACAAAACCTGTTCCAAGAGGACGAAAAAGAGGGTGGAGCATGATGTCCTTTGCACATACAGTTGTTTTAAGTGTGTACACATGTACTCAATTTTCTGACGCATTTTTCACTGAATAAGCAAGAAGTTGTGCCATATTTTGGATAGTTTTAAACACAATCACTTATTTGATTAGACATTAATTATTTTCCATTCCCCCATGTCAGAAATGAAGATTTATGGCACAGAGTTTTTCTTTCATGTCCCCCAGTAAGACGGGGAATCCTCAGTAGTGGTGTTACATACTGGGGAAGAATTTACCCAAATTGACTTGCTCGGGAAAAAAAAATTCTGTGCAGTCCCTTGTACTGCAACTTGAAAATTGGGTAAATCATACTAAGTGCACCAAGACAAATCGGACTGAACTTTGGAGGGATATTTAGGGATTTGCTTTCGTTTCTCATTAAATCCTAGTTTTTGACAAGACAAGTCTTGCACTCCCCGCCTGCAAAGTTTGCCATCTTTTTGCTGGAAAAGACAGCCCAGGTTGCCGCCGATGGTATCGAAGCTGTCTTCGGCTTTGAGATTGCGTCACAGGTCGGTCCAGTCACGAGCAGCAACGAGCAGGCCCAGAGAGACGAGAAAAGTGAGCCTGAAGGTGCAGCGGTGGCGGGAAAAGTAGCCGAGGTAAACGATTTATTAAAAAGGACATAGGGGAAGAGTTCCATATACGGACGCCAGTAATTATTTTCCTACAGAAAGCAAAATCATGTCCAGAAGAGTTCAATTTAGGAAGGAAAAAACCAAGTCGTTAACTTAGAAAACATAATTTTTGAGACCAGACTCATGGGGTTTGTGCACGGGCTATCAAGCAGCGTCCGTATATGGAACTCGTGCCAGACATAGTCATACAGTATCCAAGAGCACCTCTAAGGAAAACGTTTTCTCTGATTTTATCTATTCAAAAAATATGGAAGCATCCAAATCGAAAACAGGGTCATTTGCCTTCAGAGCTCAACTATAACAAGCTTCAAAGGGTTTTTTCTGTTCATGACAACATGCGAATTCTGAATGTATAAATTGCGTCATTCGGAGAAAACGAGGGAACCTTCGCCCTGTGTTCGTAGTGGATAAACCCCCTTGTGCATGCCAAACACACATGCATGCTCTGAAGACAAGTGACACTGCGTTCGATTTGGATGCTTCCCTCTTTATTTGAACAGATAAAATCAGAGAAAACATGTTTCCTTAGAAGTGCTCTTTAAAATACTGTAGTCAGTTACACAGTGCATGCAGCCAATACCAGTTTGGCATAGCACAGTATACATGTACTTGTTACGGAATATCTGGTACCCAGCCTCATATTTATACACTCTTTTTACATAGTTCGTGCCACTCAACCACTTTTTTTCACCTTTGAACAAGTTGCTGCGATGTGTCGTTTCACAATTATAAATGTGTTGGGAAAACTTTGTACATCATGTTGAAGGTTAGACATTGGCCGGCAAAATATATACATTCCGTCATATTGAAATGTTTGACTTTATAAATTTGCAAAGGCCACATTTTGTTTAGCCGTTTATTTGAGAACATGCTAAAAAAACTTCACTTCAGGTTAATGTGAGTTTATGGTAAACTCGAAGACATTTCCACCAGCAGAATTCCAACGATTGTAGATGTTGAAAACGGTGTGTATAGAGACAGCATTGTCAGTTGGCACAATGACTGACACACCACATCCCCTCCATAATCGAAACCCCAAAGCAGAAGTTTTTTATAACGTAAACTGTCTTATTTTTTGGGGGGGATCATCATTTTACTATTTTTTTGGTTTAATTTCCAGCCTGGAAATACATCCGACACTGCTTCAAGGGAAAATGTAGGATGTCTTATTCGGGCCGCTCAAACAGCAGTGAGTATTGTAAGTTTGTATCCGTCGAGTGTACTGGTAAAGGCGCAGTATATTCTTTTCAACAGACAACACGTTTTGAATGAGTGTGATTTATCAGTGCCCCCGAATTAGTGCTGACAGAGAGACTCGATTTTACAGATTTAATTATAACTGCAACTTTCATGCTCTTTTAAAAGTGAACCTGTAGACTGAAGAATGAAGCCACGATGCCAGAATGCAGGTATCCATGTAATTATGTTGTACTGCCTCTGGGCCAATCGAGTCATTATAGAAACCACACTTTGCTACTCTTCCCCTTTTGGGATGAGGTGTTTTATCCTTTGCCAACATTTTCCCCCCTTTTACGTTCGAGGCGAAACTTCTTCGAAATCTTCAAAACTGGCTGCAGTCTCTGCCCGGCCAGGATCCCCCTATATGCACCGAATCGCCCAGTGCAGTCGCAGAGGACCGACGATATGTGGTTGCCAGGAAACGGGTGGAGGAGCTGGGCTTGGCTACCAGAGTGTTCCGGGGCGCCCTCTATGCCTTGACGGATACCCTGGATTCGATCGGGGTGAGAGCGAGCTTCCTGGAGCAGGCCAAGGGGACTCTTCATGTCTCCGGAGACAGTAAGTTCTTGGCCTTTCTGCGTTGGACAGTCATGCAGGAAATCCTTAGGATCGCGATTTAATATAACGGGATTTGAAAACATCAACAACGACAATTGTACTAAAATCTGAGGACTGGGGACTGCATGCATGACTAACTTTTGAACGTTCTTGATGCTAGCTGTTTAATTAATGAAGCATTAGAGGTGAATTCGTTTTGCGATGTGACGAGAGGTTCTTTGCTAGTTCATTCGGAATGACTGCCCGTTACCAATTGAGACAAGTGAAGACTTGAAGATTTGCACGGTCGTGCGGTACACCTTACATTTCTCTCTCCCAAGACAAAAAAGTCTGCAGAATAGACGATCAGAGCACATTAGATTGCTCAAGATTTGCACTGTCCATACTCCCATACCACGCAAGGTAGAGGGTTTGACCACACATATATTTTCATCAACAGCCTTAAGTAGGGCATTAAAGCTTTACTCAGAGAGTGTCTGGTATACACGTTAAATTGTTCAATCTATACACTTACGTGCAAATTGCAATTCCTGCTTCATTGTACTTTTATTACCACACACGTGTGGTTGAGGCTCGATCTGATTTGTTACGTGTTGTTACAAGTTCGTTCTCTTCCGATATGTTGTTTGGGGTTGCTGCAAGATTCTGTATTTGTTATGTTGCAACTGCTCTTTGTTTGTAAAGCCTGCTGGTAAAATTCGATCACGAGGTACAGAGGATTTTAATAGCATTGAGTTTTGACTTTTGTTCTCGCAGAGTCTATTGACTGTAGCCCTGTCAAGGAGATGTCCACCCTGTCTCCTCGCAAGCGGAAGGAGTTTGAAGAGAGTGATGAGGAAGCAGAAGACGATGAGGACGAACTGGGAACCCTGGAGCAGCTGGAGAAGAGCTATGATTCACAAGATGATGAGGATTACAAGGTTGGATTGCAGGAACAACCCCGCCCCTTCCGGTGGCCATTGTTGCCTTACCCATAGCGGCACGCAAACCCTGCTCGAAGATCTCAGCATGGAGAAATAGCGCCCTCGTAATTCATGCGGGTTGGGGAATTAGACGCGTTCCTAGTCTTACGTTATTTTTTTCTATTTCATAAGCGTGATTCCCTTTCAGCTTTATGCTTTGTCGTGGTGTGTACAAAGTGTGCTTGCCTTCTGGAAGCAGCATCGTATTATAACGAGAATACAACTCACAAGAATATAGGTGCACAATACCAGTGCTACTACAGTAGCATTAACGCTATTGATCCCCACGTATTGAGGATCGAAAGAGCAGTAAAAACAGCGGTATGTTATTGTTTGTCTAAGCGTTGTCATGGGATACTGTTCTCAAAATCATGACGACCCATCCTGTTTAGGATTATTTGTCACTGGAATGAGCCGAGGCACAAGATTTGAAGTTTATGCCAAACTTTAGCATAGCAGAAAAATAAAGGGCTGTATATTGCAACAAACTTACTCCAAGCATGTTGAAAAAAACCTCGATCTTTTGTCATCAGCCACCGCGTGAGGAGGAGCTGAGTACCGACTCGGAGGAGTATAAGGAAGGGGAGACAGAGAGCGAGGAGTCCGGGCAGAGTGAGGAGGAACACCCCGAGGACACGCTCCCCAATTACCGCACCGACATGCCATTTACCCGGTCTGCTGCGAAAGCGGGCAGCACCGTGACTTCCCAGACCCCCTCACAGACCGCCCGAATGGTCCTGGACCCGAGAAGTTCCGAAACCCTCGCTGACGGCAAGATCGCCGCAAACTCAACGCCCGAGACTACCGCAGGTCTCGACACCAAGGAACCTGCATTTGAGGCTTCCGCGGAGCCACCTACCCAGGACCCGTCCAGTAAAACAAAAGCGAGCAATCTGAATGGGGAGGAGGCAAAAAGCTTCCCCCAACTCGGCCCAGCAAAGAAGAACTTGCCCGTGTCAGCCCGAACCCCGTAAGGAAAGTCGAAGTATCAATCCGTGATGGAACTTCAAAAGATGAAAATACAGGCCGTATCTTTGTTTCAACCAAGAAATAATTAAGTGCTAAAATATTCAGTTAGTCTTTACAAAAAAAATTGAGAGAGTAAAGTAACCTCAGAACTGAATTCTTACAATTTGTTTCTCCTGCACGAGTGCATAATTATGCAGATGGTGCAGTTCTGTATTTAATCGTCCGTTGAGAAATTATGAAGGACTGTAAGTTATCTGATCGATGAAATTTGAAATTATTTAACGAGACATAATTGTGGAAACACTGGACTCGACAAGGAAAGGCAATGAGCCAAATTGTAGGAAGTGAGGATAAAAGATAGAAAGAATGACAAAATAAGAGGAACAGGAAAGGGTAATGCTTTTAACTTTTCTTCTAATTCTGAATTCTTAGTCCCATTACAAACTCCTCCGATCATTTATGGCTCATCAGGTTTGTAGGCTATTCACTTGACATTTAAATGCAAAAAACCCGATGACAGATATGACCCGATATCAGTCATTGACCTGATGGTACTGACAGTTGAACAGTGCTAGGTAAAGAGGAATGCGTTTGCATTTACTCGATCTTAAAGTTGCTGGCATTTTGCTAACATCCACGGGAAGCCGCTATTCGACTGAATAAAAGGAAAGTGTGTTCTTGGAATAAAGTAGCCAATGGCACAATTTTTTTTCTGATTGTTTACTCTTTTGTGTCCGTGTAGTTTATTATTGTAACTTGCCGTCAAAATGAAAATAAATAGCCGGTCTTTGGTCGTGAATTCTAGACAACCATAGGCGATACTTCGTAAAAGAATACCAGTAACACTGTGGTTTTCAATCCTCACCACTGTTATTGAGACATCGCCGACCCTTGAACCAATACTATTATTGACATGCGTCAAAACACTGTGTTAAACAACTTGATCAAGAAGAAAGGGCACATTCAAGAGAACGAGGGCCCTGCCAAATTGTCCTCTTAAATTCTAAGAGAAGCTACTACAGAAAAGTGTTTAATGGGACATTTTTATAGTTATAAGTATTATGTACCAGATAGTACTGTTACATAGGTGTGTATAAATGATGGTTCAGCCGAAGAGAGGTGGGAAAATCAAGCTAGAACTTGGTAAACTAACCCCATAGTTCGTTGGGCTAGGTCAGTGACCGCAGTAGAACGCTGCAGGACGTCATTGGCATCTCCAGTAGCCAGCCTTACTGCATGATTCCGCCAGTTCCCTGTAACTTTTATTCACGAGGCCGTGCGCTGCAGCTGACAAGAAGATTTGATTGAGAAGGTCTCCGTGGATTGCTCAGTCTGGTCTACAAACTGCTGACTACCATTATGGGCTCACCGTCGGTAATATTTCCAGAATCTTCCAAAACTTTCATTCCCACAAGATTTGCAGAATAACCTTTAGTGCAACACTTAGTGCAGTTTAAGGGCGTTTAGGATTTCTGCCCAGTTTATAGGGAAAAGGAGACGAACTTTCACAACGGTCATATTCGGGAAGAAATTCCATGTACGGACGCCACTTGACATCATGTGCACAAACCCTATATATGAGACTGGTGTGAAAAGTTGGCTCTCCGATATTTGCCCTGCTAATATTATCTTTCTGGGACGTTCTTGCTTTTAGGTGGCTAATGGGTCACCGCAGGGAAAAATCAGTGGCGTCTGTATACTTAATTCTTTCCTGATAACTCTGCTGCACTTCAGCCTCGAGTCTCCAATTCATGGAACGTGTTGTTGAAAAGATCGAAGAGTACTCCATTCAGAAATTAAACTACCTGAGCTGGTGCGAGTCACCTCAGCCACTCCATTAATTTTAATGGTGCTTGCTACGTACGTGTGTACACGGCCATGGCCATGCTCAAGGGAAATTGTCCACCTATAGCATCTCATAATTGGGCAATTTTTTTTTAAACATTGAGATAAATTATTGGTACAACAATATTTCTAGAGTGTGAGCTATTAGGGTTATGGACCGTGGGGAAGGATTGGGTCTCAGTCTAACAAATCGAACATGGTGTGATAAACTGGCCACAAACCAGTCGTAATCGAATGCAGACCTAATAAAAACGCCAATCGGCTTTTGTTTTGCAACTTCAGAGAGGACTGTGAACCCGCTACCACTGGACAATTACCCTGACTGACCCATAGGATGACAATCTCTTCCTAACCTTAGGCTTTGGCCATAGGGTGTAACTGAGCCCCAGTGCAAACCACGGCGGATGGAATACCCCACCCTTCCTAGATGAAACTACTGATTATGAAGAGCTAGAGGGATTATAACGTAAAGCCGCCGCCAGAGGCTCTGACTATTCTAAAACATGATTTCAGGTTTCTAGGCCGGAAAGCGTGTGTAATGCAATGATGTTTGTTCTCCATATACCGAACTCAGTTTCTCAGGAGGACTACCGAACTCGTCGTGCGTTCCCTGCCGGGACTAGTACTGACCGTCTTTTTGCTGGAGAAGACGGTCCAGCTGGCCGCTGATGTGATCGAAGCCGTCATTAGCCGAGGGAATGTAGCAGCTGGAGGGCCAGATCTCGGTCAGATTCAAAAGGGGCCCGAGGGCAAGGAAAGTGACCGTGGAGCAGTGGAAAGGGCGGGGAAACGGGATCAGGTATAATATGCCTTTTGAATAAAATCTAGCATACTATCTTTAGGCCTACATTCACACGAACATAACAGTTCAAATTCACCATATACTAAAGACAATGTTGCTATACCTCTACCTCATGCTTTATGGATGTAGGGCAGGCTTTTGCTTGGTTACGTAAGAGACACCGTGCACCAGTACACTGTTTTCAGTAGATAAGAAGAGCACAAAAGAACCAGTCCATTCCAGCTCCATGATTCCAAAGATGGCGGTTGCTATGCAAAAGCTTGCCCCGTAAAATGTACATGCACCCGTAAACGCGTCATGTGTGTCGCGCTACTACATGTAGGCCTACTTAGTACTAGCTTTTTAGCTTTCAGTGAAGGTACGCATGACAACTTGGATGCAAATTTCTAGTGGCTTACGGCATCGCCACTCGCTTCTGGTCTCTTTTCATGCTACAACATCCGAGATGCCACGCTCAACTTATACAACGGCTTTATCCCTATATACAATGTAATTATATTAAAATACACTCTCTCTATACATGCCACTTACATTGTATTTGTCCTCGTGATTTATTCGGTTCAAACAAAATGGCTAAAATTTTATCCTCAAACCTAAATTTCGATCCGACCGCATGAAACTGTAAAGGCAAATAATCCAAAAACAGTCCTTAAAGCGAAAACCCAAAATATTTTCACTAAAGACATGTTAAGAGGAAAATAACCACTGGGTTTCAAAAGAAAAAAGTCCATATTCTATATCATTAATTCCACCAAAATAACAACACTGCAAAAACTCTGATGTTAAAAACAACACTTATTATCAGATGACACGTTAACACCCCTGGTGTTACTTTGTACACTTACAAGTGTTACAATGCTCTGGAGGTGTTAAAAGTAACATTAACAGTGTTGAAACAAACACCAAAGTTTAAACACCAGTGAAAAGCGTTGGCAAGGTCCCCTGATAACACGGGGTTTTACTGCAGAGAATGACCACATGACATAAACAAATCGACGGGCAGCTGGCTTTGTTTTGTTATGAGTAGTCGTGGAATGTTATTTTATCAACAGTCTGACAGGACGACTGAGGTTGCTTTACTAGGGAATGAAACCCATCTGATTCAAGCTGCTCAAGTTGCAGTGAGTATCATTTGGATCATTAGAATGATAAGGGTTATTAACATTTTGAAAGTGTTGCTGTTTTAAATCAGTAGGTCAAATTTATAAGAAGTTAGCAGCAATTTTGAATCTTGAAAACCTTTGAATCAGAGGTTGCTAACTATTGATTAGAATTCTTTGTAAAATCTCTACATTCATGAACGGAAAACCACTGAGAAATATTTACCAGAACACGACGTGTCTGGGACTCGGGTACCTATATCTATTTTTATTCAAGCAGAATATGAAAGTTTTGTTTCCATTTCCCCACTCGTTAACAAAACGATTTCCTGTTAATTTCACAACTCAATTTGGGACCAAGTCGGTGTTGTGGAGGAACTCACACACAACGTGTTATTTTGTTTTTAGGTTAAACTCCTCAGGAAGCTTTGCAACTGGCTGCAGTCTTTGCGCGGCAGGGCGCCCTCTGCTCGAACCGTCAAGCTCCTTCGCGCTAGCAAGGAGGGCCAACAAGACGTGGTTGCCAGGAAACAGCCGGATGAAGTTGGCCTGGTGACCAGGATGTACAGGCGCGCTCTCCAAGCACCGACGGAAATCTTGAATAATGCTGGGCTGACGGTCAACCTACCTGCCTCTAGAAACAGTTAAGTTTCAGCCGTAGTCAAAACACCTTTGCGCATGTTGCTCTTTGAGGAGCTGTATAGCTAGATGTACACAAATTTTGCCTAGTTTACAAACAAATGACAACGTAGGAGACCACATTCTGGACGAATTGTAGCCCACTACATAAACTGTCGTGTTAATTTAACACTTTTTGAGAATTCAAGGGTATTAGAATGACACCAATTTCACAACAGATTTTGGAGTTGCATGTGATCACATAGGCCTACGTGCAATCATGTACATCAGAAGCATGATGCGAGTTGATATAAAAGTCGCCCTCCGTGTTTTTTCTAAATAATGAGTGGCACTTACGAGCCTTCCTGATAGCAATAATTTACGTGCTGGAATCAGTTTATACAGTGTGTTGCCGCCTATTAGCTGTCTTTCCCTCCCTCCATGTTTATACGATCCGTGTTCTTTGACCCCCAATTCAATCTGCTTCTCGCGACTGTAGACAGAGGTAGCCAGGACGTTTCAGGGGAGAAGAAACGGAGATATACCGTTTTAATCTGGGTCTCAAGATCCAAGTCAATTACCAATTCCTTTATTTCTATAACAGAGCCAGCTGACTGCAGCCCAGTCGAGGAGAGGTCGACGGGCTCATTTAGTAAGGCAGAGGTTGAGGATAAAGACACGCTCCCTCCTCGCATCATCATCAAGCCACTTAGCCGAACCAGCGCAAAGGCTCCTGCTGGTGGAACGCTGTCATTAAGAAGCTCTGCCAACCGTCCCGCTCAAAACTGCCGAGCACTCCTCGATGATCATGCTGTCCCCAAGACTTCTGCCGGCAGCACCGTCAAGTCGCCTATACCGGTGCCTGTGAAGCCGCTGTCTAGTGAAAGACTTTCACCAGATGTCACTGCCAAGACCCTTGCCAAGCCCTCAGTTGTGTCCCGAACCCAGGTCATCTCTAAGACCTCTACTGGGAGTACCGTCAAGCCCCTTACCCAGGTCTCTTTGAAGCGTCCTACTGGTGATGGAGGTCTACCAGACAGCACTGCCAAGCTCTCTACTGAGACGACCCGACTACTTCAAGAGTTGGTTATCCCCAAGACCTCTGCTGGGAGCACCCTCAAGCCCCCTACCCAGGTCTCAGTGAAGCTTTCCACTGCTGATCCCTCCCGAATGCTCCATTATCAAGTCTTCTCCAAGAACCCTGCTGAGAGTGTAGCTCAGCCGTCGGCCTTCGCAAAGCCTCAATCATCCACGATTTCCGCAGTGCAGGATACTAGCAAACCAGACCTGATGAAGTCAAAGGTTTTGGGGGGACCACCTCCTTCAAGCATCACTGGCATTCCTCCAGCTGAGCTCCTTCCTCGGTGCGCGACAATGTCCCGTACCCCGGGTGTCTCCGAGACCTCTGCTAAAAGCACCGTGCTGCTTTCGACCACAGTCGCCGCAAGCCCACCCGTGAAAACGACTGTGCCACAGGCTCAGAACACCACCAAACCGGTTTTCCGTGCAACTTCGGAGTTGGGTGCTCCAGGAAACCCCAAAATCTCTCCTTGCAGACTTGACAAGAGCCTGATCCCAGCCTTAAACACCGATGAACCTGACAAAGTGGAAACCAAAACTAAAGTAAGCGACCTGAATGGAAAGTAATTTTCTCCGTGATGAAAAGTGGTCCATTTGTATAGAGAAAGAAAACCAATAGGTGCTTCATTGCAACGCTAGAACTTTACAGCATTAATTCTTTCTTTATTTTTTAATGACTATTAGCGAGCAAGTGGCGACAGGCAGACAGAGAGCATGGAGTCTTGGAAGAGAAGTGACGAAAAAAAGGTCACGTTTGCTACTCGTCTCATCAAACCAGTAACTGGAGCCATGGTGAAGGGGCCTTCTCATAGCACCGACGATGCTAGACCTCAAGTTAACCCAGATGATCAGATCAGCTCCCAGAGTGCTTTAGCAAGCACGTTGACCCACAAGATCGCTTCAGATCTCTCATCAACGATCACGTCAGATCAGACCACAACCAAGCCCAATATCATTTCGGGGACAGCTCCCCTGGTTGCTGGCAGCATCAAGCCATCCTCCTACGGCAGCGGGAAGCCTGGAGCTGGCCCAGGTCGACTCGCGGGGTTACTGACCAAGCCTCCTCGCCTTTTCGGCGGTGCTGGGTATCCTGCGGACAGCATTTTCGATACACCTACTCATCGCAGCCGAATGGTCCCCGATCGGAGCAGCTTCAAGCTACCTCTTGAAAGCACCGTTTGTTCTGCCACAATCACCGCAACGACCCCGCCCGAGATCGGGTCAGATCAGAGCACCACTCAGCCGCCAAGTAAGGCAGCAGCAGAGGGGGCAACCGGGAGGTCTCCTGACACCCCTTCTGAAGGTGATACCAAGATCTCAGCCAGGAGCACAGATGACCCTGGTAAAAGTCACAAACAAAGCAAGCGACAAATATGGAAAAAATGGATATCAAAAAAGAAGTAGGACTAAGTGGTCTGAGTTTTAAAAAAGAGGACAAAATCTTCACACTTGCATTTGGGAAAGAGAAAAAATAGCCAACGCTGGATGGTACCCCCACGAGATCATGTTTAAATGTAAGATTTTTAAAATATGCAACTCGAAACATTAAAGTATAAACTAGAGGATGTCAGAAGTGAAATCTTAGTCTTTCACCCTTTTCTGGTATTCCGATGCTTGTAAACTGTGAACAATCTTACGTGCGCGTAGTTGTTTTGTAAATCGTGCACAGGAATAAAATTAGACAAATAACAAAGTGCTATTCTTTTTAGTTGGTTTTGAAATTTTGGACATCATTTGAATCAGCACATCACTGCACAAGTACTGCACATCGATAATGATTAGAATTTAAGCATTAATTTTACTGTGACCTAGTCATCCTTTGTAAATTTATTGAATGCTTGTTTTCTGCGCATTTTGTTTCTTTTACTTGATACAAAAAATGGCTTTCTTTTGGAGCTTTTTATTACCATATTGTGCGAGAATTTTGTTCACCTGTTTCAGTGTCGTTTCACGTTATTTTTTTTTACTGTTTCTTTTATTGCAATGCTATGTCCATTTAAACCGTCACAGTACATTGTCATAGCATAGTCAACGGATTCTTGGTGTAGACGTGAGTTGAAACTGTAACTAATTTTATTGTTGGTAAACTGACGGAATGATGTGTGAATAAAACGTTTTGTCTCCTTGAATAATAACTTCCGTTTAATCTTTTCGGCGACGACAGGCATTTGGTAATAATAGTCGGTTTTTATTCAGCGAATAATACGGAATGCCTCTATGCGCTGATTATCATTATCCCTGCACATTGGGCTCACATCATCTGAACATTCCTGAAATAATCTTAGCTCCCTGGGGAGTATACTAGCCTGATTTTGCCATTTTGGCACAAATGGCTAAACACAATCGTGTCTGCCCTCACAGGTACCCATTTTACTCCTGGGTGGAGAAGGGCACATAGGGGTAAAGGGACTGGCCCAAGATCATGACATTTGCCAGCAATGAAGGTTCTTCTACCTGTCTGAAATCCAATCTTTGACTCGCAGGGCATATACCTGATTCCGGTATCAACACGGCAATGGAAAGTGGCTCTAGCCCGCCAGTATAGCAGCTTCCACAGGAACATACGTTATTTCATGACAGAGCTACAACTTTCGGACGCCGGCTGTGGAGCGAAATTGAGTCAGTTCGTTTTGCATCGTTTTCAAGCACTACGAAATTTAATGTGGTTCATGATGCGGATAGGAAAGAATTATTTCTCATATACCTATAGAAGACGACCTTACTCCGGGGCATGCTTGAAGTTTTCGGCCATAACAGGTTTTCTTCTTTTTCTCTAGGAACTAAGAAGACAGTTAAGAGAACCTGAAAATCTTGTAGAACACTCACGACTCCTGGATGAGTGGCCGAAACACATCTCTTAAATTCCCTTCTTTTCACAATGCCCAAGTTTAACTTTTCAAGGAAGAAAAACATGTTTACGTAACGGTCGCAGTTCTATGGACATAACTCTTTTGATCGTCTTTGCACAAACGATTACCATACCTTGGCCTAACTTGTAGAAGAAATCAATTCGGTTTGTTTAAAAGCCTTGAAGACTGAGTAAACAGTTCAACAGGTTGGGAAAGTCTGCAGACTCGGCTGTATACGGCGCCATTTTGTTCGCCACTGCGCAAGCACTTTTTGCGGTGTGAAATGTAAAATGTCGCGATGGAGTACGGAACTACGGTTGTTGAGGGACAGAGGTATGTCATAGCCATTCAGTTAGATAATGTAGATATCATTTAAATGTAGATTTCACAATTGCACAGTTTTACACAATTAAAGTTTCTTTTTGGTTATGGTGTTTATGAGGTTTAGGCAGCTCGCTTTCTTTTGACAAGGAACACATTTAAAACCAGTTTTCCTAAGTGACGAAACTTGACAAACATAATTCTATTACAGTTTTATCTTTTAGGTTTATTAAACGACTGGCACTAAGATTAAATGAGTAAATGTTCTGAGTAGGCTGACTGTTCATCGTCAACTGAAAAATGGAGTCCTGAACCATCTTTAGTAAAGTTTCAAACACTTTCCCTTTTATTGTTCTATCTCATCAAACAACACAGACAATCCAAGCAAAATAGGAAAGAACCTGTCAGTTTCAGTTCAGTGCGTAGAACTACTTTTCCAGGATAAATAAATCCATGCGATTATGACACACGAGGGCCAAAGTTGGGGCAACGTTTTCTTCGAGACTGCCTAATGTGTTCTCAAACGGGTATATCTCAATAAAGTGAAGTTGAATGACGACTGGCCTGTCTCTGAAAGGGGATAGCGCAACTATTTACAGGAGCCAAAAGGTATAGTGTATGTTCAGATTGCATGCAGAGCTCCCACTGTCCCCCTCTGTAAAGCCGGTATAGAATACTGTTGTGTGCCAAATATATCACGATATTTACTTTAAATTGAGGCCTGTTAAGTAAAATGACATTTTTTGTTTTTGTAGACTGACACGGCGAGTTCTTGTGACTGGTTCATTGGATTACCTCCAGCGCACCGGAGAGGAAGATAAACTGTCAAAAGAGAAGAAACGAGGCGCGCTGCGCCAAGCCGTGACCACTTTCGCTGACACCACCACGGCTCATGGCCTGCCACTGATCATCAACGGTACCTACACAGTAAGCCGGATCGCCTGGTCTGTGATATGGCTGATTGCTTTCGGTCTTGCGATCCTACAGTCTACCCTACTGCTCGTAGAGTACTTCCAAGTCCGGCCTCTAACAACAACCATCGAACTGATCACCAAGACCAACCTGGACTTCCCAGCCGTGACTGTGTGCAACATGAACCGCATGCGACGCTCCAAGCTGGTGGGTACTCGCTTTGAGGGCCTGATTGCTATCGACGGGGGAGTTCAAGGGGAGGATTACGACTATTCCTGGTTCTTCGACTGGTCGTCCCTGGAGTGGTTTGATCGGTGGGATTCAAGAGGCGAGCCGTCCTCTTCTCCTGATGGCAACAGCTTGCAAGATTCCTCACCGGTAAATTCCGAACCGGATGACAGCACAGCTGGCGGGATCGGGTCTTCAGAGTCGATCCCTGGGGTTGGGGGCGAAAGTGATGTTACGCCACAAGGCTCAGGCGGAGCCACTGTCGGTGGTAGTAGCGTCGATGGAACGGATGGGTCAGATTCGGTACGCGGTGCCGGTGATGACGATGACGGCATGTCCAGCGACACCAGCACCTCAGGTCCAAGTCACGTAGCTTCAAACGGAGAAGGTGACAATCCCAGTACAGCTGGCGATAGTATCGATGAAATGAGTAGTATCGATAACGAGAGCAGCCTCCCGGGTGGAAGTTCTAACACCCCCTCCCATGATGTAGAAAAGGAGGAAGCATCTTCAACCGCTCCGCCTCATTCTTTGAATACGCATGCTTCGACCTCCTCTGGAATATTTCCTGTAACACAGGTCAACTCACCTGACTCCAGTAGCTCCCAAACGACCACTGATCCTCCAGGGAGCGAAACTGTGGCACCAGGCCAAGAGAGAGACAGCGACGGGGCTTCTTCCTCGTTTAATCCCGGAGAGGAATCCGACACTTCCATCCTCGATTCTGAACGCAGGAGGCGGTCCGTCAGCTCGAGACAGGAGCGGCAGCGGCGCACGCTCTCCTCTTCCACCGAGGATTTCTGGTGGGAGAGCGATGACTTCGAGTACGACAGCTACTACAACTGGGATGGGGTGACGGACGAGAACGACTGGAGGGGATTCTACGACAGATCGACGGCGGACGACTTCAGCGACTTGATAGACATCGCCAACCCCACACGAGAAGAACTGGAGGTGCTAGGACACCAGGCACAAGACTTTATTCTGCAGTGCACCTTTGACAAACGAAACTGCAGTTACAGGTTTGTGTTTATCATAATAAACCGCCCTCCTGTGCCAAATCAGCTTAAAACTTGATTTACTTTTAAATTAATACTTCATAGCATTACCCTGATTTGGAAAGTATTTTCGTTCCAAGAATGGTCCAGAACAGTTTCTGAGTGAGATTTAAAGGTTTTCGTGGTGGAGGTAACAAATAAACTTGATTGGTTTGCGGTAGCACCATGGCGGTAGGCAGTCTCCTGATGACGGACAGAGCATAGGCCCTACTGTCCAAAACGTTGGGTACATCGGTTCTTTTCAGAACCCCACACTCAAAAAGAGATATATCCATGGCGCTAATAGACTTGACTCATGACTCAAGTCGGGATCTCTCTGGCGTTTTCGTTTATGCTTTGAATACATATCGAGACTGCGCGCCGTTACTTGCTTCGCACCCTCTTGTGTCCACTAAGTTACTATGAATTCAGTTCAGAAATCCTGACTTGACGAATCTGCCAACCGTTTGTTTGTACACAGCAAATGGGCTCATCTACCAAAGGTGGTAGCAGCCAATCGCATTGCGGGATTTGTTTTTACGTCGTTCATATCTGCATAATAACGAACGATTCTAAAAGTCTGACCACGTTGATTGGTGGAAATTCCGTAAATATTATGAAAGATCATGTCGTTCATTTGCAATTATGAATAACTACATATCACGGAAGGGGGCTGCGACTGGCTTATCCGTCAAGTCGGACTTACTGATTTACTGACATTTGACACACGTTGTACAACAAAGACTGTCAGATGAGGGCGCCTTATAAGGGTTTTGCGAGCTTCCGGACCAAGAGCGACAACCGTGTTGTGTGTACAGGCTGAAGGGATGGCTGAATGAGAAAAGAAACCTAAGTCTGACTTGATTTAAGTCAAAGGTGCTACAACCAACCTATCCAGTTTACAATTTGAGTGTCTTGTACATGTTTTTGCTTAAACAGGGATTTTAGAGTGTTTCAGAACACGGATTACGGCAATTGTTTCACTTTCAACCACGGTACGGGGAACAGCAAGGTCCGGACGACCAGTAGATTCGGAGCGAAATATGGTAAGTTACACCCGATTGTACTGCTAACTTAATATCTCCACCAACATAATAATTTTAGCTCAGTAAGACTGATGAGTTCCACATACGGATATCACTTATTTCCCCATCCAATTTTTTTATAATGGGTATTTATCTCTGTTACTTATAAAGGCTTTACGTGGCATATCTTGCAGGGCATTTTTTTGTTCCACACAGAAACCTCCTTTGTGCGAACCTTGTAGAACAAAACACTGGCCTGCAAGATGGCAGCCATGCAAACCCTCTATAGCAGCTATTGCTTATGCACTTTTCCTTCGTTTAAACAATCTGGTACCACACCCTCAGAGACTTTATACGCGTAATGTTTATTAAAGAACGCTGCTTTGTCATACACCCGAATTATTAATGCCTCGCTTTCTACTTGTCGGCACTTTTTTATTGTGCGAAGATAGTGCTTTATTATTACACTGGAAATCTCCACCACTCAATTGCAGGTTTGCATGTGACGTTGTTCATAGAGCAACCTGAATACCTGGGCATTTTCTCACCGGAGTCCGGAGTACGGCTGACAGTACACGGACAACGGACGATGCCGCTGCCGGAAGATAACGGCATCACGGCGGCAGCTGGCCTAGCTACGTCCGTCGGGATGAGACAGGTTGAGAACTAACTTGTTTGGTCGTTTGATTATCATGCAAAAAATAGAATGGTAATCAATTAAGACTTAAATCAGCAAAACAATCCCCTGCCAAGCAGTTATAAAACAGTCCAGAAAACGTATAAGAATGAACTCAATGTTGAAGTGTACATTTATCTCTTCCGAACAACTGGTTACTAGTAGACCTTTCTTAAGAAAAGGCCCATTACACACACCCGTGTGAAAGCTGGTAGTTTTCTTGCAAAGTAATCGCGGGGTTACGTGTATACTTTTCCGTCGGAGTTTCAAGTCAATGCCGTTCACTCAAGAACATAAATGGTTAAATTAATACAATAGGCTCACGGAAAAGTGGCATTTCATTTATCTGTCTGAATTGCAGAGAATCAAACAATCAGTTCTTCAGAATCTAATGAAACTGAGCAAATAAAATAACGTCCCAAAGGATTCTCAAGTAAAAGCTTCTACCCCCATTTCTGTGGTACGGGCCATCAATACTTTGTTGCGCTGTCGCTGCTCACACACATTTCCTTTCTTGGTCTTTGCTCCAGGACTTCATTAGCCGCCAACCCTTTCCGTATGGCAATTGTAGCGACAGCTTTGATACCAGATTCAACGTGACTGCTGGGGATTACGACTACTCGCTGAGTGCGTGCACCAAGTTTTGCTTGCAGTCGGAGATGCTGAGCCGCTGCGGTTGCGTCACCGACATCTTGATCTACTCCGCTCTGAAGTGTAGCTACCTCAACACCACACAGCGTATGTTGCTCACCGTATAGGACACAGCTGGGCGCTCCAGGAATGATGGACAAAAGATGACTACTTTTTATCGTAGGACTCACCGATAACCGACGATGCCTCAACTTAGGGTTTTTATTTCACTTTGCTTTGCTTTTAATCGTAGACCCGCGTAGCCACCAGATACCATAATGCAGATGCGACCTCAAAATAAGTGCATTATTTCCCTCACGCTCTTTTGTAGTCTGTTCCAATGCATGATTTTTTCTCGTTCAGAAACATGCAGACGAGCTGTTGAAAATCTCTACGAGGATAACAAGCTGCAAAGCTGCAAGTGTTTCTCGGCATGCAGGTAATAATGGTTAGACCAGAGGAGGACATGCCATAATTTGAGCCAGCTTAGATTCTGCCAATGTTCTGAAATGCCCGAAAGAAAAAAAGTCGATTGACATCATGTGCATGGTAGGGATTTGGTGTGGGAAGGAGTGTTGAAGGGGTTACTCCTAGCAAGGACTGTCGTCGAGATTTGAGTTGTTAGGATAGCAAGGCTCCACTAAAAACAAAATTAAATTATTTGGAAACATAAATGAGAACTATACGTTTTATTTTCGGAAGGTCAGTTTAAAAGCATCTGGTTAAACTATTGTAACTTGGAATTCCTGTATTGTCAACCATGTTTAATTATGATTTTTAACAAATTGATGGAAATACTGTGTTCAATTTTGTAGAGAGACAACTTTCAAGCTTGGCGTGTCGTCGTCCCGTTGGCCCTCCGAAAGATATGAGGTAAGGACACTATACAGACACGACTGAGAACACAGTAGGGGAGGGGAATGGACAGACTGGGCTCCACGAAGGAGACTAGTCCTCAAGCCCAAAAATGCGTGCATGCATGAAGAGGCGAAGGTGAAGTTGGCAAGTTACGTCAGAGGAATCTAATGCGATCTGATACATGATTTTGATATCAGTGTACATAGATGTCTCACCATTTTCCTTCTGGTGTGTCCGAAATCTGAATCAGCAAATTGTCTTGATTTTCTGTTTTCAGGAGCATCTGTACTCTCGCATCTCAGCAACAAACGAGAAAGCTGCAAGATTGATGCAAGAGGTCGAGCAGACTAGGTAAGCTTACTTAAACCGGTCGTATAAAAATCGATCGAAGCTCACATCCATCGATAAGAGTATAACACTGTTTTTCAGGGTCTTGCACGTGATTTAGTTCGAGTTATAAAGGTACTTTGTGAAGATTTTGTGTAAAATGTCGTGCGCGTTTGGCTCGGACAGTCACATGGCAGTCGGAGTAATAGTATTGAAAACAACATGCCAGGAAAAAGATCTTCTCTCAATCGTTTCGTCGGACGCAAACCAATAGAATGTCGATCTGTCTGTAAAGCGTTAAAAGAGGTACGGTATACTGTTCCTAACTGTAGCTGTTTTTGGTATGGATATCATGCTTCAGTGCTTGGAACAGGTATTAATGCATGAGCTGTTTTAGAGATGCCACTGCCCCCCCGGAAAGCCACAGCTCATAAAACTTCACCTTTCTGTGTGATTTTCAGGAAGAATCTTGTCCGTCTTAGGGTTTATTTCGAGGAGCTGAACTACCAGTCGATCATACAGACACCAAAGTATAGTGTAAGTTACACAAATGACCACCCCTAGACAACTCAGTTGAGAATGTCTAAACTTTGAAGGAATGAGTTGCCTATAAATTAAGGATTTTTCTTTTGCCTTTCAAAATGACATGAATCTTGTTCATTCTTGTTTTTATGTTTCTGGTTTTTGTTTTGTTTGTTTGTTGGTGCCCCGTCCACTTTTTATGCTTTTGCTGTTGTACTAATGGGCTAGCCATAGGTTTACCGTAGGGTGTTTGTTTGTTTGTTGGGGTGTTTGTTTGTTTGTTTGTTTGTTTGTTTGTTTGTTTTTGTTGTTGTTTGGGTTTTTTTTGGGGGGGTAAGGGATATCCAAAAATGTACTCAATTGGGCTGCAGCTTTCTACTTTAGTTTCAGGTGCTGCTTTAGATTGAAACGAGACTATATTACAGGTATAAAGCTGTTCGGTTTAATTCAAAGCGTCACAAATTTCTACGAGCTTGCGTAAGAATCTCCAATTTATTAATGTAATTGTATGGTCCGTGATGAATACAGCAATACTGCCTTGAGAGACTCGTTACCTGAATATCTGTAACTCTAAATCTTCGTAGACAAGTGTCATTTAACCGTTCCCCTTTTTACGGACTTATTCTTTTTCCTTATTATTCCTACCCTTTTCCAGGTCGAGACCCTCCTGGGTAGTCTGGGCGGGCTGTTCGGCCTGTTTATCGGGTTTTCCGTCATCACCATTTTCGAAGTGGTGCTCTTCTTACTCAAACTTCTCAAGATCTTCTTTTTCTGGGGCCAGCCATGCCACAGACGTGAGATCAAGCCTGTTATAAGCTAAATACCCCGAATCGAAGAACTGTAACAATTTTCGTGAACTATTTGCGCTTGCATGCCCGTGTGGATTCAAACGGAATAAGTTCTTTATTAAAAGACCTTCAGATCTCCCTGCCGTTTGAGCATGGGAACAACATTTGATTGAATTAATTGGATTTTAAATGAAGAAATTCATTTTTTTCACTCTCTCCACGATATTTTCATTCATCCGACGATATCATATTTTGGCCTCCAGGTCAATCTTTTATTTAAGAATGTGTGGCAAATTCCAAACCTGAATTTTAAAGTCAGCGGTTTTTTTTGTGTGTGTGTGAACGACTTTCATAAATGATCTCGTAAAAACAGTAGTATCTCAAACAATCAAGAATTGAATTTACAGGAAAGTTTAACATGAGTGTTGTTATCTATGAACTCCTACTTTTCTTTTGTAGGATTAGCTTCGAGAGATGTAGTAACAGACTGAGCACCTGAAATGTTTAAAACCATTAAGAACTTTTACTTTTCAAAATGTAACGTTGGAAACCAGAAAGACATATTTTGAATCATCTTAAAACAATTATCTGGATGTACCTGTCTCTAGAATCTCAGAAACACGGACAACTGATATACTACGCTTTCTTTCGTTTGTATAATAATTAACCAGTTTAATGGATTTTCAATATTTCATGTTCCGGAAGTGTATACTGTATTTGTAATTCTGATGTTTATTCTGCCGAGTTAATCACGTTAAGTACATTTACCATACGCTGATGGGCTTTACACCAAAGGTCAGGATAATGGAAATAGGCCTAATTTAGTTCACGGTGAACTGGTTTTTCACCAATCAATAATGGGATTTGATGTGTTTTAAACAGACACTTGTTACTGTTGTAATAAGCATGGGTGGAGATCCCGGGGGAATGGGGGATATATCCCCCGACGTTAATTTTGACGGTGTGTGTATGGATGAGTGTGTAAACGCCTTCAATCGTGGACCTATAACGATAGGGGACAATAGGGTCCACGGTTGCCGAAGAGTCCACGGTTGGAAAACGTGTACAAAAAGTATGAACAAAAGAGGAATAGGGAGTCAACGATTGAAGGCGTTACCACACTTGTGTGTGTGGGGGGGTGGGAATCATAGCCTCATTCTCAAGTAAATGATAGCGCACCCGTAGCCTGCACCACCGACTCCGCACTTACCGGCGTCACGATCACCTGGGATGGAGGCGGTGCTGAGCCATCCCCCCCTACATGCGACAATAAATCCCATGGGGATGAGTGTACAGTTTGTATGACCAAGGGCTGAAAGCATGCTTCTCTGAAAACGAACAGCAGGGTAAAGTGATACAACAGAAATGTCTCGTGATCTGACAATGCCGAACAGGGAAGGTATGTTACGAAGATTCAAAACCTAAAGTTCTTATTGACATAGTTTTGGCGGTCCATGTTCACAGCACACATTGTTCCCATCGACGTAACCAATACGTACCGAAATAAAAATTCCATATAGACTGTTTTTTACTTGAATTATAGGGATGTCGTTGAAGAGGCTATACTATACACGGCATGTACCGTATACACTAACGAGCTTGCGTGCAGGGTTTGTTGCAAAATTACTAGGAAAAACTCAAAATTCTTTTCTTAAGCCGCCCTAACAGTTTGGGCCTATGTACGTGGTTGCGATAGAATAAAAGCTTCAACAATCCTTGTAGGTATTTGAAAATGTGAGGACGCAGTGACACAAATGGAATGAAATTCGACCAAACGTTGGTGGCCTGTTTCTGTTGATACGCCTTCCTCCTGGGGACTGATTACCTATTGGCGAAAACATGTAAACTTCAATCATATGCATACGTTTTCTCTATCGAGCGATGATGAGAATAACTGACAATAAATTGAAACGACGCTCGCAGCAAGAAATACCAACCCGTCGCACGTGGAATAGGAGTTAGTGCTTGAATATTGTGCGCAAATTTTACATTGAATTGCTGGTAGATGTGCCTTTATCTAAACAGAGAAATCTCTACGTTAATATATGTATCTTCAGTCCGAGATATAAAGGTACAAACATCTTAATTTCTTTATGCATGTATGTTGAAAGTCAATGTTTTCACCAGGTAAGTCTGGAGATGTATCTCCACTTTAATATGTAATGTTAAATTTGCACGCCATACCCGGTACTTGGATATCTTTATTACACAACCATAAATGGTCAAAATATGCTCCAAGAATGTAACAGTCGACCGAGTAGCAAATTAGATAAGCAAATATCAGGTCCACTTATTGCACGTACATTTGGTAGAAGCCTCACTGCATCCCAATACGTCGCTGGTATCGACAGTCTTCTGGACAAACTTGCCTGGAATAAAGGGGAAAGTTCCTGATACACGGGCGACCTTCAATTTTAGACAAGGGGCGTTGAAGTTAGAATCCCTACAAAGGTCTTTCTTCGTCGAGCATTCTGGAAAAAAGCGACAGCGATGAGGTCACTGGTAAGGCCTTTTAATGTACTTTCTTTCGACAGTAAATGGAGATTCCCGTTGTTTCCATCGCAACAGGGCTAGAACTGATAAGAAATTGGTTCTTTTAATTGTCACTACTTTCCAAATAACACATCAGTTAATTTTGCAAAGACAGATGTTACTTGGAATCATACTCCAAGAGTACAAGGATACAGTGTAATCCTTATCTTTCTTCCATAACAAAACATCGATGTAACGTTTGGTGACTGTCCATGGGGTAATGCTTGTATTTGCCCTACTCTTCCCACTTGAAACATTAACAGCGTAATACTACTTATACTCTCTTTAGTTGAACTTCCATCGACAAAAAGCTCCAGTTCCCTGTGAGATGCTAAGTTAGGTTTCTATAAGAACACTGAGGCGGCAATAGTTTGTTTATGTTTTTATATGTTTGAGAATTATGGCAGTAAGGTAATCATAATCTGCGTATTCCAAATTCCCTTTTCAAGGTCTGTGTGGATTGTTTTTAACTGGAGATATCATTTAGCTAGGTTAAATACTGTACAGCTAAGGTCACTTTCCATTTTATCCAATTAACATACAGGTTAAAGGGAGACCAACAGTAATGCTCCTTAAGGTTCTGACGCTGTGGCTCTTCAGCAGTTATTGCGTTGCTCAGGAGGAAACGAAAGGATCTTCAACCTGCTGTGGTGCTTGCTTCCAAGGCCCGGCCGGAACACCTGGCATTCCTGGGATCCCTGGAAATCCTGGGGGTCAAGGACCCCCTGGCCCCAAGGGCGACTCCGGGATGGGCCTTTCTGGACCCAAGGGGGACACCGGCGTCCAGGGACAGAAGGGAGACCAAGGTGAGCCAGGGATACAAGGACTTCCAGGGAAACTGGGACCTGCTGGTCGCAAGGGAGACATCGGTGAGGGGCAGAAGGGGGTGCAGGGAGTCCATGGACCACCTGGTGAGCAGGGACAAAAGGGCGAGCCGGGAGATCTTACGGTAGTTACACCAACACTGCCCTCTGCCATTGCATTCAGCGCTTACCGCTCGTCCAGTGTCACAGGCAGTAATGGCGATGTCATCATTTTTAACAACATCCTTACGAATCTCGGTAATGATTACAGTTTGCAATCAGGCGTGTTCACTTGCTCAAGGCCTGGGGCCTACTTCTTCACAGTTACCATTCAAAGGATGGCGTCAAGTTCGGATCCTTACGTAAAACTGAAAAAGAACGACCAGCTTGTCTTCTCGATCTATAATACGCACGACAATTATTACCACATGTCCAGCAATTCAGCAGTCCTTGTTTTGGCGGCGGGAGATAGAGTTTGGCTTGAATTTGGCTTTGGCGGTATTTACAGCGATAGCGACAGGTATTGCTCTTTCTCTGGCTTTCTGATTCATGGACTGTAAAACAACTCTAGAACAAACCCCTTGAGGGTGTTTTCAGATGCTGGCTCTGCTATGTGGTAAAGATCAAAGGGCTGGCCATTTGGGGGAATTGAATCTATATTACCGAACCTTTTTGAAGAAATGTGCATGAAATAAAAGTTGACTTAGAGTTTATAGTTTGTGTAAGAAGTGTTTGGGACAGATGATCGTTTCATGAGTTTGTATTGTATTCTATGTATGTAAAAATACTAATTTTTTGTTTAAGTTACGTCATGCACCTTTAGTGCTGCCTTCGTAATCTTTGTTTTCAAATAGATCTTGGCGTTATTGATGATTAAGTATGGATTGGCTAGCACATGGTGTGAAAAGCGATGAATGCTCGACAAGTCTAGTCTCACTTCTGCCTCTAATTATTCTTTCTGCCTTATTAGAACGTGTGCTTATCCTTTCATTCTCCCATGGTCACAGTTTTGCCATAAATATTAGGTACATTAACACACTAATATACCATATTGCAAACTGAACGACATACTTCTAAAGTGCGCTGAAGATGTTTAAATGAATTTTTTCCCATGTATTTTTGGGGGGGATATGTGAGTTTGTTTATGATGACTGTTCTTTCTGAATTATAATTGCCCGATAAAATAAATGATTTGCTTTAAAATGAATCAGTAGAAAACACAGTATCGTACTGTTTCTAAAATGCGGGCGGTTTCAATCCAATCGGTAAAAATCGCAACATGGCTATGGGGGCAAGTTGCCCTCCCCCCTATAGGATACGCCCCTGAAAAAGTAGTATATTCATTATCAGCTATCAAGCGAAGCAAAGCTTCTTAACGTATATAGTTATGATTTTTGTAAGATAAAAATGAGTTTAATGACTCAATTTGAAAAAAAAACACACTATTCCACCAGAGACATAGTTGTAAGACATACAAGGAAAGGACTTTTGTCAATTTAACAAATCACAACCATCTTGACAATGGATTAGATCTCGCCCTCTACCAACAACGGCAAAAACAATATCAAATGTAACCCATAATCCAACACTCACAGTGTATAAGCCTTAAATGGTTGACAATAACTTTCATAACCTAAACAAGTGGGTGTACAGCTCACTAGAATCATCCTACACCAAGTTATCCTGCGAGAAGGAAAGCCACACCCACGGCGTAGACGAATACTTTGATCATTTTATATCGAAATGGAAAGTTGGACCTACAGAATTTTTGAAGGAAAACAAACAACTTGAACCCTTCGACAATAAGCGACGCTTACAAAATAAGTAAGAAAGTTAACATGTACGCTAAAATCATTTTTTGAAATAAAAATCCTCTGTTATTAGTGTTTTTACTAGGTCATACGAAAACTCAATGCCCCACGAACTTGGGGGAATTGTCACTGCCCTACCACAGGGCCACTCGTTACAAAGACCTCAAAATCAAAAATTGAAAACGAAAGCTCTCTTGGGATTAAAGAGAGTGAGAGAGCGCTGGAGTACATCGTGTGATATTCAAAAACCAATGGTTAGAATGGTCACTCAATTAACTTCTGCGTAAGTTCGGTCATTATGATGCATCCACAAAAACCTTGTAGGTCCCCAGAGAAGTACACTCCAATTAATGGATTCGCTGTCCTCTAATATGTTTGGTTTACCTTGACACTAACGTAGCTTGAGATTAGTTCAGAGCTTCTCACGCCCAAATTTCCACCTCCTCGTTGGAGTGAAGGTCAATTTGAAAAGTAATCACCGGGCACAATTTACTGCACGATGGCGCAAGGGCATATTAAAAGCATCCATTAACTTGGTTATTTGACGCTGTTGCCAAAGCGACAAATGGTTGAAGTTGTTTGCTGCCCACGATTTTCCTGGGCAGATAAGACCACAAATGTGGGTGTACTGAACTTCTCTAAAGCCTTTTCCGTTAAAAGCTGAGCGCGTCTGGTGTACCCATCAGGAAAATGGTGAACCATCTGGGAACGGCGTGACATCACACGGGCGTTAGGACAACCTTTCAATAGTTCGTGTTTTGATTTAAAAATTTCACTGGAACAGTCTGGAATGAGGTAAGAGATATTTTTGTTCGGTTAGGTTTTGTTATATCAGGTTCATGAGATGGAAAACAGAAAAAGGCCCGACCTTGACAATTTGAGAAATCCTGCAGGAATTTTGAAGTAATTACAGTGCAACAGGATCGTTTAGAACATCGATTTGACAGAAATGTTTTACTCAGTGAATCAGACTATTACCCGCAACCTGCAACTTTTAAGGCTGTCGGACATGCAGATTTAGTGCAGAGCACCACTTTACATCTGCGAAAACAAATTATGCAGAGATGATTGTCGATTTGAAAGACTTAAAAGTTGACAGAGACACGTTAAACAGCGATAGCAGAGGTACACCATTTTAATGTGCGAGGAGGGGATGTTCCGTGATGCTGTTTACATAATAGAGCTATTTTGTTTATACATATAGCTATGAATAACCCAGAAACTTGCAAATACTTGTCTACATGTCTCATTAGCTTCGCTTTTGCAGTTTGAAACAATTACAAATGTAAGCATTCTAATGTTTTTACATCATCATGGCCATCATCAGGTACAAACAAGCGGTATACGTGCTAAGTAGCAAGATGCTTCTAGATTAATGTTTTAGCTCATTTACAAATGGACAAGAAACATTTTCTGCTTTGATACAAATCCCGCTTAATTCACTTCTGTTTTCAATCGAAACTTGACTGAAATCTCATAACGTAATTGTGTTCAGAGGAGGGCTTCTAAGTATTGGAAAAGTTTAAGATCTTCAACTCGCCCATAATTGCTTTAAGAAACCTCAGATTACTTAAAATTGTCCGCTTACTTCGAGTTACCCCGAAATGAATTTTAAAAAGTCCATAACTCTTTGTTGCAACTTCTTCGTTGAGTGGATTACGATTATACTTATTGATAATTCTGAAAGATATCGTAATCAATTCGATTTAAAAATCTCAGTCAAAATGACTCTGCAATGTTTCGTTGGTAGACTTGAATCAAAATTACCCAGGTTTGTCTTCCAAATGTGTTCCATCAGAATATCATGCCTCTCACACACGTAGAAACCTTTTTCCGACAGCGGTTCTGATGCATTTTTTTGTTGGTTAATGTTCTTCCTTACGGGAGGAAGAACTCAATACCTACACAAAAGATTTGTTATTTTTCTCTCAAATCAATCGTCTTTTCCTTCCATCTCTATTTTCATCTGTCGTCTCAAGGTATTTGTTTAAAGATGTCGATTTGCCAAGTGTCTCTAAGGTTTAATGATTTGTCTTGTACTAAATTACTTTAGGGCGAAAGCTTCCTAAATTATCTATGATTATTGAAACTTTATGACTTCTTCGTGCTTTCTTGTTGCGTCATAAAGATTTTTCCTTTAAAAAAGTAGTGTGTTCGAATTAAACTAAGAGCTTTAGTTCACAATTTTTATATGATCCTGTAAACCATTTCGAAACATTTAAAATCTCAAGTAAAAGAAAATACTTGAAATAAAGGGGTTGCGATTTGTTCTCAGCGGAATTGACCTAAATCATTAGGAACGTTTCCCCGAAACAGAACCATGATACCGATATCCCAACTTCGCATTGTGAAGTTTGCAGTCAATCTATGTGTCCTGCACCCAGTTTATAATTATGATAAAAAGCCTTTTCTTCTTAGGAATAACAGCCAAGTTACATATCACGGTGCATGGGGTGCCCCTCCCATCCCCAAGAAGCCCCCAGTACTTCCATCCTGGGAAGAGGCCTGTCAGCCAGCAGCCAAACGCAAACGCACGCTGGGTGACATCCTGCAGGACTTCGCGGAGAACACCACCGCCCACGGTGTACCGACCATCGCCCGCTCCAAGCGTACCGTGACCAAAGTCTTCTGGCTGGCCGTGTTCCTAGCAATGCTCACCGTCTTCTGCTGGCAGGGCATCACGGTTCTGGTCGACTACCTCGGCTTTCCCTCGACAACCAAGGTGAAGCTGGTCACCAACCCTGAGCTGACCTTCCCCTCGGTAACCATCTGCAACATGAACCGCTTGCGGCGGTCTCAGCTTGTCGGCAGCCGCTTCGAGGGGCTAATCCGCCTTGACGGTGGGCTGACCGATGACAGCGGACAGACCGACTATTCCTGGTTTTTCGACTGGGACTCCGCGTGGTACGAGCACTACATGGACACCTATGGAAACGCCAGCGGGGCAGGACAGGCTTCCACAGGATCTAACCTTGGCACAGGCGGACCTACTCTTCAGAGTGACTGGAGTGTGATGTATGGTGACGGAGGTGTGGATCCAGCAGGTATCTTCACTCAGGACGGAACGGACACATTTACCACTGCGGCATCGGATAACATGATGCAGGTCGAAACAACGATGGGCGCAATGACTGATTTCCCTGAAGCTCCATCCACTGTAGGAATAGCTTACACCGGACTCGCTGTATCAACAAAGTCCTCTTCCTCTGCTCAGGAAACCCCGACTGCCAATCACGGGACCTTGGATGAGGGGCTTTTTGAAGCAGGGACAGGTACTGGAATCGATGTAACCGCTTTGGACATGGCCACCGCACATTCTCCACCCCAGACCAACACAGCAGTCTCCGATTCTAACGTGTCCCCAGGAAGCTCATCAGAAGAATACCCCGTTACTGACCAAAGCGCCACAAGTATGGGGATGCAAGCGACAACTGAAGAGGAAGGTATGATAACAACAGAGATACCTGAATCAGAGCCATTCGAGTCCCTAGCGTCTTCATCAACTGCTTTTGAACACGATGCCAGTCCGTCTACATTGACAATTGAGAGCGGTGAAACGACGACATCAAAAGAGTCGGATTCCAGCATTGTGTCTGTGACCACCCCTCAGTCCCAAGCAACAACAGGTGAAGACAGCGTCCGCCCGCCAGACGTGGTAAGTTTAGCTAGCTCTGCTTCATCTGAGGGCGTATGGTCCCCGAGCACAGTGGCGTCATCAGGTGTAGGGAAGGGAACAACTGCAGCATCTGTGGACTTCAGCCCTTCTAACTTCCCCATAACCAGTGCTCCAACATCAAGCACAGGCACAGAAAGCGAAGCACCGCCGGCAAGGACAACGGGCACCATTACTGGATCTGCAGCCACACAACAACTAGAGGAGAAAACCACCACAGCGAGAGGAGATTCACGGCGCAAGAAGCGCTCACTTCGCATCATCCGCGACACGTCTATGGACGATGGCATCAGGGGCATAATCGGTGAGTTCGGTTCCTGGGTCGACCAAGAGTGGAACAACGAGGAGGGCGGCACCCAGTTCGATTTCCAATACGATCAGTACTTCAACTGGACGGGCGTGAACAGCGATGATGACTGGCAACAATTCTACGACCGCTCCACGTCCCCTGATTACAGCGACTTCCTCGACATCATCAACCCTACGCGTGAGGAGCTGAAAACGCTCGGTCACCAAGCCAAGGACACCATTCTGCAGTGCACGTTTGATAAGAAACTCTGCAGCTTCAAGTAAGTGCGTATATCCAGAGAATCGGTAACAATTTAGAGTTTGGAGATTACCCCTCCACATGCACACACACAGACTGCTCCATAATCGTTTTGTTGTCCAATGATTTTCGTATCCCCACTGTTGTCATAATTGGAGTTAACTGCATGGTTTCAG